AAAAAAAAAAAAAAAAAAAAAAAAAAAAAAAAAAAGCCACCTACCGAGATGGATAGTTCGATACTAAGTTGGGAATGTTCATACCCACAAAATGTTACTATCTCCCCCTAGGAGGTCGCAAAGCCCATAATGCTATGTGACAAATAACCACCCCCCAACTCACTACTAATCCCCATTTATCTCCAGCTCTGCAACACCAACACAACAACTGCTGTCCTACTGCATCACAACCTTAAACCCCTCAAAACTCGGCAACACCCTCCTAATCTCCCCCTTGTACCCCGGAATCCCACCCGTATAATTCAACTGCTCAAACGGCTTCCCCGGGAACGTACCCCCCATATACGTTGACCGCGTCGTGGGCAACAACGTCAGGTTCGACAACTCCTCAATCCGATGCTTCCAACCATGCATAGCTGACAAGGTCGGCTCAACAGATCTAATCCCCCTCCGCTCCATCGCGCGAATCGCATCGACGATCCATCGTCCTTGAACCTCGATCGTAGTCGGTCCATTAGACAGCGCGGTCGGTGCCTGTGGTCCATATGTGAAGAAGAGGTTGGGGTAGCCGTGGATAGTAAGTCCCAGGTACGTGTGTACTGTCGCGGCCCATTCATCCTTAAGATAGGTGCCCTGTGTACTGCGCAGGCCCAAATTGGTGAGTCCACCCGTGGACACGTCGAACCCGGTCGCGACGCAGATTACGTCGAACTCGTGCTCCGTGCCGTCGGCCATACGGATGCCCTTTTCTGTGAACGAGTCGATGGGGTTGTTGCGCACGTCAACGATGTCCACATTCGGACGATTGAATTGGTCGAAGTAGCTGAGTTCTAAACTCGGCCGCTTAACTCCCCATGGATGTGGTGGCTCTAACGGGGCCAACAGGTCGCGTTTCACAGGGTCGTCGATACGAGCGCGCACCTTGCGTGCCCAGAAATCGTAAATCACCCTGTTGGCTTTGGCCACAAAGAAATAGTCACTGTACGAGCCGACCCAGTATCGGAACCCGCCTTTCTCCCAGAGCTGCTCGAGGAACGCTTCGCGCTCTTTCTCATCCTCGTCGAATACCCCTCGCTCGATAAAGTCGTAGGTGAACCCTCCGAAGGATGTTTCTCGCAGTCGGAATAACTCCGGGTACAATTGCTTGAGGCGCTCTTGCTCTTCAACTGTGAGAGGTCGCTTGCGCATCGGAATGGCCAGATTGGGTGTACGCTGGAAGACCTTGAGAGAGCTTGCAACAGGTCCCAGGGCTTGAGTGAGTTGGACGCCGGACGCGCCGGTGCCGATCACGGCGCAGCGCTTGCCTTGCACGTCGACGCCGTCTTCGGGCCAGGAGGCAGAGTGGTGGACTTCTCCACGGAAGGTGTCCATACCAGGCCATTCAGGGACGTGTCGCTTAGCGGCGAATCCGGTCGAGACGATGAAGTATTTCGCGGATGCGTGACGACCATCGGCTGTGCCAACTTGCCATCTTCCAGCAGTAGGGTCGTATTCGGCTGATACTACAACCGTATTAAAGAAGCAATCCTTCTTGACGTCAAGTACACTCTCGACATGCTCGAAATACCGCCGAATCTCGTCGTAGGCTGGATAGTTGGTGGACCAATTCCAGTTGGCCCATGTTTCTGGGATGGAATATTGGTACTCAGGCACTTCAGAGTCCACGCGAGCCCCGGGGTAGCGATTCCATTGCCATGTTCCTCCCAAGTCCGAAGCAGCGTCGAAGATGATTGCTTTAAGACCTAGCTTTCTCAATTCATGCAGACAGTAGATTCCGCTGAATCCGGCTCCTACAATGAGGACATCTAAATACAGGTCGTTGCCATTGGGGGCTTCGGTGCCGGTGGTGGTTGGTTCTGGAGGTGCGTCAGAAGCCATTTTGGGATATATCGCAGAGATATCTCAGCATGGTCTCCGAGAAAGAGGGGAAAGGGTATTTATAAATAGGGTCAGCAGGGCAACCATGAACCTCCGGGCAGAAACCCCGCAGCAGTCGGCGTGAAGACTCTCAACCATTCGTATTTAGGCCGTGGCTGACCCTGGCTAGTCGCTGCACTCTTTACTGGTGATAACCCCGCTCCGAGATGCGCGCCACGTTACATCTGCGGCAGGGGGGTATTTGTGGCGGTTATCGGGGCACCAAAAGGGCAGTTGGACGACATCCCTTGGTTCAGTGTTCGTGGTACGCTGAGATAATGTGCAATGGATGAATGACCCGGGACCTACGCTTGATCAATTAAGGTGAACTTCGCCCGAGACGGAAAACACACAAGCAGCAGTATATTGGATTGCCAATTGAACTTCTCGAAATTATGCTATAATCCATAATGACCCTGGCTTAACTTAGATAGAAAACTCCCCCGTCAAGGGTAAGTCCCGACTCGACCGTCCCACATAGACTTGGTACGTCCCCGATTGCAGCTGCCACTGCTGCGCTTCCACATTCCAGGTACTCAGGTCGCGCCGATTCAGCGAGAAACTCACCTGGGCTGTCTCGCCCGCGGAGAGAAGCACCTTGTCGAAACCACGCAGCTGACGGACAGGTCCGTTGGGGATCCCCACATACAGCTGGGCCACCTCCGCCCCGTCGACCGATCCACTGTTCTGCACCTCGGCCGTCACTGTCACCAGATCATCCCACAGCCGAGGGTTTCCTCCTTCTTGGATCGCAGCTGACGGAGGATATTCGGACGTTGTCTCGTTGGTCTTTTCGATGCTCAGCCCTGAGTAGGCAAAAGTGGTGTATGAAAGGCCAAACCCAAACTCAAATTGCGGGGTGATGTTATCCTTGTCAAATGCGCGGTAGTCGATATAAACTCCCTCGGAAAAGTCCGACTGGGGAAATAGGCCATACGGGGTCTGTGGCTCCGACGGATGCAACAAGGAGCCATAATCCGATGCCTGCTTAGCGATCGTGTATGGAAGCTTGCCCGAGGGATTGGCCCGCCCGTAGAGAATGTCTACCAAGGCATGCCCGGTGTCCTGACCTGGCAGGTGTGCCAGGACGACGGCCGTGACATTCTCATGATCAATCCAATTGTACACCAATCGGATGCCAGCGTTGTGAACGACGACAATGGTGTTGTTACACTTGCTTGCCACATTTGTGACCAGGGTGTCACTGTAGTCGTCCGTCAATGCGGAGCGATCATAGCCTTCCGTGGCATAGCTGTTGATGAAAACGAGGCACGCCTCAGACGTGGGGTCCACCTCCGGGTCTTGAGCACTGACGTCCCACAGCACGGATGTACCGTCCTCGTAGGCCTGCTGTTGAATGGCATTCAGAGGCGCGATGACATATGCCGGTGAGTTCGATCCCGAGCCACCGCCCACCCAGAGAGTGTAGTTTTGAAAGAGGGCACTGGTGCCCAAAACAGTAGAAGCAAGATCAAAAGAATCAATGACCTTGGCATCATATCCAAAGACAGACACTAGCTGGGGTGTTTGAAGAGGAAGCGCATTATTGGTGTTCTTCACCAAGACGTGGCCCTCAATTGCGCTCTCCAGAAGCGTGCTCCTCTCGTCGGGCGCGGTTCCAACAACAACCTGGTGCTCCGACTGGGCACTAGCTGGCATACCAACGCCAGGGGTGGGAAAGTCCGTATCCTGGTTCAACTGGTACCACGTTGCAATGATTCTGATCCGATTAGCTTGGTTGTACCGGGAACATTAGCCACGAAGCTCACCTAGTCGCCATATCGTCCAATCTTGATGCCTCCATCGTGCCATTAGCAATGGCGGTGGTGAGGTTGGAGCCCCAGAGCGTCGTTTCAGGCATCACCATGTCCAAACCAGCATTGGCCGAGGCGATTCCACCATGCTGCGCTCCCCAGTCGGTAATTACGTAGCCTAGCATATTCAGCAAAGATTACAGATTGGCCAAGTCAACAAATCTTACTTTGGAATCCCAGCTCGGTCTTCAATAGACCGTTGAGGGTCTTGCTATTCTGGCAAGCATACGAGTTGTTGATCCGCTCATATGAGCACATGATGGCAACACTTCCCGCCAGGACTGCATCCTGGAAAGGCCACAAGTAAAGCTCGTGAATTGTCTTGTCATCGATGTTGGACGAAACGGAAGCAACGTCAACACCATTAACCGTTTCCGGATTTCGGTTTGTCTCTTGCTCATTGCCGATGTAGTGCTATTGAACCATAAGCCATGCTGCGCCTTGCCTGAATCACTAATACTAACCTTGGTCGAGACACCAACACCAGACGACTGTACCCCTTGCACCGTTTCGTATACAAGTGCTCCAGTGAGGTAGGGGTCATTCGAGAACCCTTCCCAGTTGCGGCCACCCTCTGCCACCCGCCCCAGAGGGCCGACAACAGGACCGAGAAGAAGGTTCACTCCTTTCCGGTGAAACTCCTGCCCCATGTACTTGGCCCTCTCTCGAGCAAGTGTCCGATTCCAACTATGTTGTTATGTTAGCTCTAGGAACAATAGAGACGTTCATTGAGATTTTTCATTACCTGGCACCGACGTGAATGCCGCTAGACCAACCGTTGACATAGTCTGTTCCCCTCTGCGGACATTAGACACATCCAGTGATTCATGAGGGCCATACGTACCAGTCCATTGCTTGCATCACTGACACAAAGACCGGTAAAGTTGAGGCGCGGGATCTCGGCAATGAAGCCGGAGCAGCCAGTCTTGGAGCTCACTCCTGCTGTGAGGTTGACCTTTTCGTCGTCCGTCAACTGGGCGACAAAGGCCTTAGCCTTCTCATATGCGGAAGCCCATGACCCAGTACCCGTTCCCTCGGCTATGGTCAGGCGTTAGTGAAGGCAGTGCCTAGAAAGGGGGCACACCACGTACGAGACGGATAGACTGCGGGAGACTGTCCATAGAAGTAAGCATCACTAGTGATGTTCTGTGTCGGAGCAGCGCTGGAGAGCGCGAGGCCACCAAGCAAGCTGAGAAGCGCACTAATGCTGTGCATGTTGCCGATGCTGTCTTGAATGCTGCCAGGTCATGGTGAACACTGGCCCCATGGTGGTATTTAAATGTCACTTTCCCCTCACATCTGCACGGATTACAGTGGATGTGTAGTTGCGAAGGTATAGTTGCGGTGCCCGTGTTTGCGGAATTTCCTGACTAGCGGATAAACATCGGGCAACGGACACAAATGGTGAGTGATTAGACCCTGTCAGGCGAGGTGCAATGGAGCAGAGCAGGACTATAGAGGCCTTGTCGGGGTAACATTAGGCGAGCCGTCGCTTCTCCTCCACTTTCGGCAGCGTGGAGGCATAGAAATGCCGCAGTAGAAATCCCACATTTCCTATCGAGTCTCCACCTGCAGTGGAGAAAATCCGGGGAAATGCAGGGTGTAGGTCGTCATATAGGCCAAAGCATGACTCGGCTGGGGTACGGGGCGAGAGATAGGGTGTACCATGCAGAGCTGCGCGTGGGAGAGAGGCGAATCAAGATTTGACTTCTCCATCCAACATCCGGCTTGGCTTAGGCACTTAGGCTATTATACTCTCCGGTCGTCTGACCGCAGGAATATGGCATGGCGTCACCCATGAGGCCTTGTAGGTCCGAGTGTGTGCTTGGTCTCCTGTTGTTCCCACCAGGAGCCAATCAGCTGCTGGATATCACCATTTAAGTTCAACGCTTATTGTATGGCATCGGGCCTCGGAAGATAGTAGACGAGCCCTATCCATCGGGTCGCTGGCCTAGAGATGACGGCTCGTACCGCGCGAAAAGTTGGAAACCGCTCCCACTCCCTCATCGGACCAGAGAATCGGCACTTGTGTAGACAGAAACTAGCGCTGAGTGGATGAAGCACCCCGAGACGAGGGCGTGGCATCGGATGGTGTGTGATGGAATCAAGTCCGTTCAAGGCATCACCCGCCTGGGCCGGGTTGGAAGTTGACCGAGCGGGGTCACCATGAAGAGCTCATCGGAAGAAGCGACAACGCAATCATAACACTTCTGCAGTCCATCTGACACGTAGTTCCAGGATGGCGAGAAGGATATGCGTAGAGTACCGGAGGAGGGAGATGAGGCAGAGGGAATGAATGCCAGTGAGGCTGTTCCAGCCCGTGCGAGTCCCAAAATGGAATAGTGGCAGTCGCGGCCAAACAAAAAACACGACACTTTCTTGTTCTGCCTCTTCCCTTTCTCTTCTCTCTCCCTCTCTCTGTCCTTCTTTCAATCTCCATCTTCACTTGCTTAGAAATGCTACCAAGTATGTCCCCAAGTCTGGTACCCCAAAGTTTCCTGATAACCATGTGGGACGACTTCGGCATCCCTCCTGCCGTCATCGAAGTCCGGGTATGCCCCGGACCCACCAACGCTGCCCAATCTACTGCAAACATGCTCGTAGTAGAAGATTGACCATGCCCTGCAGTGTGCTGGGGGAAAACATATTGCGGGGATGCGGGGGACGGGATGATGTTACTCATGCATCCATAATCAGTGGGTCCCCATGTTTTTTCTCCATGTCCCTCTCCAAAAATTGCAGGGATGGGAAATCCTGGTCGGATGCCCGCGGTGCTTTCACCCCTTCTTAGTTCTTATTCACCTCTCAACAATCATATTGTGCTCTTATGCGCAGAAGGCGGGAATAATACGTTGCAGGGATTAAAATGAACAATATCCCGCGGATCGTAAACGTGGTGCCCCGTTCGCTGGGATGAATCCCTCTCTCAAAAATTGGCCCCGACCACCAGCCAGCGCGGTAACGCAACCCCGCTCATACCCGCGCTTCCTTCTCCGCATGACTGCTGCCATGCCACACCTCGGGAGCAATGCGGCTTTGCAGGTTCCGCTCCTCGTCAACAAATCCATCACCGAACACCGCAGCAACTTGCTCTAGTGACTTATTTGTTGTCCCTGGAACGAAGAGGAAGGAAAACTCCGTGGCTGCCACGCAGAAAAGTCCGCAGAAGAGATACGTCCCCAGCCCGAGTTTAAGGAGCATCTCCGGCACGACAACGCCGATAATGAAGTTAGCCAACCAAATCCTTCCCGTAGCTGCGCCAACCCCCTTGGCACGTTTGGAACTGGAAAACACCTCTGCGGGAAGGACCAAGGCCAATGGCCCATACGAGACGCTGTAGGAGAGCACATATAGTCTGTCAGCCATGTCAGTGGTATCTGCGAAGAAACGTTCGAGAGTGAGTGCTTACAAATCGGTGCCACACAGAACCACCCAACTGCCTGATGTGTAGCCCACTCGCGACTGAACCAGTTTATTGTCTCCACCATCACCAGATGCGGGATTGCCATGACTATCCCGCCGTAGATGGTCAGTGTACGCCGTCAACCCGATCGAGATCCAACATAACTGGAATTCCTCCAACGACCTGACAGACATTGACCATCCCTGACAGGATTAGTGAATTATTGTCGCTCTGTCCCAAGGCTTCGAAGAATGTGGGCGCATAATACACGAAAGCGTTGATCCCCGAAAGCTATCTCGGTTAGGAGCTGAAGGCATGGGGAAGGATTTTTGCTGCAGTCAGCAGGCTACATATCTGCTGAAGGAACGGAATGGCCAAGGCAAGGGGTGTCCTCCTGAGGGATCTTGGGTGAAAGAGATTGACCCACTGTTTAATGCCGACCAGGAGCGGATGGCGAGCGTAGTCATGATACTCCCTTTTGAGGAGCGCCTGCTGGAATCGATACCTTTCCATTCCAATTGCTCCGGTGACGATGCTGATTGCCTCCAGAACCCAGAATGATCCACGCCATGCGGGCGGGGAGATCTCGGATATATAGAATGGGGCACCCATTGCCAAGGTGCCGACACCGATCCCTCCGATAGATCGGCTTGCCACGATTGTAGCATAACTTTGGGCGGCTGTCTGAGTGGTGGCAGCCGAGTAGGACAGAGAACCGACCATAGCCAAATGGAAACCGCCGAATGACGCCAGTAAAGCTGCACCGAATGCGTAGGGATCGTGGAAGCGGTTTTTGAACTCCCCGGCGTCATATTTCACTTCCAAGGTTAGAAGAGCAAGCGCATTGGTATCGGAAAGTTCATCATGGACTGCCGAACTCTTAACGAGATCTTCGGGTTGTTCTCTCTTCGCCGTTGCAGGTTCTGTGTGCTATTGAAGCCGCCTCTACTGGCAAGGTGGAATAGATGCGTGCTGCATAGCAGAAGGGTGCCTTCTCACAGTTTATATAAGTAACCGGTTCAGGGAGCAATTATGGGCATACTTAATCTTCGTGAACCACGTTCTCAATCGGCAATTGAGACGCCGCCCCGCACCTGGGGTGTCGATCCGGAGGATCAATCATTGGAGCTCGGTGGAGGTTTGCATTGGCAGTACTTCATAATTGGCAAACTGGCTGCGACGGGCCATCTTGCCTCGTTCGCTGTCGCCAAATGCAGGAATACGTCCTCGTGAGGTAAGGCTGCCAAACATCGTATCGGCGAATCAACAGCGCGGTTTGCACTGTAATAGAGCCCGACTTGGCATCATGATGGATGCCATCATCTCTTCCCAACTAGCCTATCATCTTTTCCAGGCCATCTGAGTCACCACCTTGCGTGAATTGTATTAATGTTCCCCAAGGTCGCCCCTAATGAGTTATCTGGGTCCGAGCTTAGAGTCATCAGTACTTCGATCTCTCGGCTGCCTGGTCCCGACCTCCGCATATCCCCAGTTTGCCGTATATCATCTCGACGCCAGAGTCTGCTTCAACAAAGTAATCCACATATGCTCGCTTCCTGGTCGATGAGTGGTCGGGCCCGGTATATTGGGCTCACTTATGGAATGAGCAGTATATCTATAAACAAAAACGCTGCAATCTGTTAATTAAAACAACTTTGTCGCAATTGACTAACAAACTAAGAAGAGTACTTCGTCCTTGTCGTTGCCTGCCCTTCCAATAACACTCCAATCCGATGAGACAACTCCTTCCCGGGCCATACTCTCAACGCGTACGAAGACGCCCACGGACACATTATATTCGACCTCGGCATCAGTAAGCAGAATGTATTTTTCTGGGGGCCAGACAACCAGGGTTCAGCACCAGAGGCAAGAACCAGTTTTCATTCCAAAAGCAGGGTCTCATTGAAGGGGATTGATACCTCATGGCTCTGGTCTATAATTACGAGTCGATGACAAGCGAGCTCCATCTTTTGGATTTGACCGATTTCAGCAAGGCCAGGGCCGTTATTCATCTGCCGGTTCGGCTTCGGCCTGGTCTGCATGGGAATTGGGTGGACAGTCCCATATGCAATCTGTATAAGCTGTAGATCATCTCCTCCACATGGGAGATGACGGGATGAAGAAGGTTTATTACCTGCGCCCGAGTGGCGGTATATGCCGTGAGGTGCAACTGTTACACACTTACTCTGCTACCCTATCGGCACACTATGAAGGTAAATAAATTCGGATGAATCAATAATACGTTCAATACAAAGCAGAAGAGATTCTATCGCAACTGCAAACTCATACCGTTGCAGTCGCGTGGCTGTCTGATGGTACACGATAATATGCTATGACTCGACCTTGCGCTACATGTCTCGCTATTTGGGAATGAGCTTAGACAGTCGCTAAGTGCCGGATAGTGCTTGTAATCCCAGATGAACACCGCTTGACAGATTGCTGTGTAGCTCTGTGCCTCACAGTATCATGCCGGGTAGAGCGTGCCATCTGGCTGTTGTGCAGTCACGACATTTGTCCCCTTCTCCAGCAGTCCCAGGAAAGAGAGTAGCGCAATATTGTTGATAGCCTTAATAGTAAACAGATAGACCCATTTGTTGAAATCAAAGTTGACATCGACTGAGTTTAGGTTGGCTTACTGCGAGAGAGGTGGCGAGGTGTAATGTGCGTCTATTGTCTTGAGAGATCTCTGCTCAGACTGAGCCACCTTAAACTCCCATCGCTCAAGGTGCCTGATGGCAAAAGCAGCGGCGATTGTCTGGCGCTTGCGATCACGCTCCCTCTTATCCACCACATCGAGAAGATGCGCGTGAGTCCCCCCAGGAATGACATAATTGAGGTCCTTGACAGACATCGTGCCATGTTCGTATATGTCAGGAATCGCCTTGATGTTGCCGAATGAGAGAGAATTAAATAAAGATGTGTACCTCACATTGTGCCATTTGGCCCGGTGAGGAAATATCTGAAGTGAATGTGGACTGAAGCCGACCCTCCATGTTGGCGGCTGGAGACGAATCTAGCAGATACAGCCAGTAACACATTTTCATAACCAGGCCTATTGTCCCCTTTTCGCTCTTCGCGCTTCAGTCCCCTTCTTCTCTGGCCCGAGCAGTCAATGATTCTAGCAGTCGCTCTGGTAGCAGTGCGATTCATATCTAAGTCTATCCCGCAACACAACACTGGTTACCGAAGATCTCATATCCTACCACTCAGATACTCCTCTTCTTTCATCAGTCCATCCTCCCCTACAGTCTCAAGCTCTCTGATTTACTCCTCACCACTTTACCTGCCACCAGATACTTCCAGGCCATTCTCTCACAACCTACAACTGCTGCAATAGGAAAATGATCTGGTCCTCGGAAGCAGACGCCAAGGTAAGCCAGTTACTCTCACATGAATGCCACGGTTATGCATGACGCTGACCTTTCAAGCTCTTCGTGGGTGTCTTGAATCAGTTGCGCGGAAAATTGAAGCTCGACTATCAAGAACTTGCAATGCACATGGGCGGAGGTACTCTCTACCCTTTCATACTCTCCAGAGTGAAGTATACATACTGACACACCTAGACTGCACCTCCTGCGCCGTTGAGCAGCGTATGGTGAGGCTCAGGAGGATGGCAACTGCCGCATCCGTGGCATCATCTAGTGCGACCGGTGGCGGAAGTAGTACCAACACAACCCCTAATACTACCCCACGGAAGCGCAAGGGAGATAGTCTGGCAACCGCTCCTGCGAAGAAGGCCAAGACAGGGGGTGTCGCTTCTGCCAGATCTGAGAAGAAGGAGGCAGATACAGCTCTTGTCGAGGAAAATGGAAAGGCCGAAATGAAGGTCAAGTCTGAGATTAAGAATGACCCTGTGGAATAATGGTGTGCCGGGGCTGTGTTGTTATCTACGTTTCCCTGTGGTTTTCTGGGTGACAGCGTTTTAAATTGCCTTACACACACAAGCAGTAGAATGCTGGTGAGGCAGACCTCAATTGATGGATGGAATGAATAGTAGCTAGAAAAGCATAAGCGCTGTGTCATACGATCGAATGATCCCGCAATCAAGTAGCACCCGTCGCCATGTAGATACATCCAAGGCAACCTGCAATAAACGAAATCTGTCTTAGACCATCATCACATAGCCAAGATCGGATTGAGCCAAGGGCACAACACCCTATTCCTCATCCTTCCCACCAGTCGGGATGCTATCGTCAATATCAGACTCCTCCGACACCTCCTCATATTTGATCTTCTTCCTAGTTGAGCGTTTCTTCCTTGGGCTTAGTGCAGCAGACCCATTGTCTGACATTTCCTCGCCCTTGGCCTTCTGCTTTGTCGCAGCGCGTCTCTTCTTGGGGCTCGGTGTGGCAGAACTGTCATCCGCAGAGCGCTTCACGTTCATACTGAACGTTATGCCAGACTTGATCCCCTTGCGATATTTTCCGAGATGCTCCTTGAGAGCCTTTGCGGTGGGCTTGTCATCGCCGGCTATCGAGGTTAGAGTCTGATCTTTTGCGGTTTGTTCGCATAACGGCCTAGGAATGATGAACTCACGCCAGCCTTCGGCAATCTTATCCAGATCCAGGTTCAGTGTCTGGGTCTCGAAAATGGTCCGCCACAGCTGAAGTGTATTACGTTAGATAGTTGATAATTTGGGTTTCTATGCAAGGGTATAGTTACCAGATCTTCGTTTTCCGGTGTCCAGCGCATGGTTGATGCCGGTTGAGTCAGAAGTGATGGAAGAGATGATCTTGAGGTGAAGAGCGTCAGATGTTAAAGGTAACGAGATAGTTTATTCGTTGCCGTAGCACCGGTAAAACTTGGGATAGTTTGGGAGCTTTCTGCGATCTGGTTGAGATACACTAAAGGAGAAGAAGCTTTTGCTAAAGGTAGGCTGATCGGAGCAGTATGGTGGTTAGGTGTTGCCTGCCTAACGAGATAAATAATCTGTCACAGCAACACAAGAAATACAGGTCATTTAAGTTGAATGTGAGCCGTAGTAGTATTCACTCGTTAGCAGTCACTGTTTTGTTTCCTGGGAAAGGTGCCGAAGTAGACAGGCTATCAGTCTCTGCGAAAGATGGCGTCTGCTGCCTCGAAAATGACCAGCTATATAGGCTCAGAGGGTATCTTACCCATTAAGAGCTTGGTATTACACTTTACTACATAAGAATTAAGGTGGAGCGTTTTACAGATGCGCGTCGGGTGAAAGCGAGGGTAAGGGTGAGCATTGGCCTTTCGAGGTGATCACGAATATTAGGTTGTCCAGACATGCTGCATGGTCGGATAAGTGTTGTGAGCATTTGTGCATCCACATATTCTAGCACCAAGCTTGAGCACATGGCAGGCATGGAGCTACACTACTCATTCAAAGCAGGGCGACTAGATGAGCGACAAGATACTAACTCTGTCGTGGCCGTCGTTGCTGTCATTGGTTGCCAGCAAGATGACACTCAGACTAGTGAGTTCCTCGGCATGAAGTAGAGTCTAGCTTGGCGACGAACTGGGTTTTTGCCAGGTTCTGAGAAGAATAGGCTATAATAGCCTGGCGTTATTGACCACGGTTGAAGATTCAGATCAATCGGGAATCAACCCGAGATCTTGATCGGCCCCCGCGGACTCAAAAGGGAAAAGCGCGCTGCAAGTGCCAGGCATGCAGGCATCCATGGTTTCCTGCGGGCCTCGCGAAGGGCCCAAAATGTATATTCCCGCTCGTCTCACCACTATCCTACATCTATCATCCCCCATTCGATAGTCCTTGCTAGATTCTAGGCATCATATTCCATTCTCGCATGGTCTGACTAAGCTTCCTTTCATCAGGATCAGTCCAACAAGTTAGTTTCATCCTCTGTGGGAATCGTGGGACTAGTGCGTGGATAGCCCCCAATAACGACCGCGATGCTAGTGGCATGAGGTGGAGAGACAAGTCGGGATCACCCAGCCATTCAACACTCGTAATTTGGGTCATAATGGCTGGGGTCTTGACTACCCCGCTATGCCTGTCTGCTCCCAAATTCACTTCTTCTCTCCCCCCTTCCATTTCAACTAGTCCAGTCTCCATTATGGCCTCTTCCAATGTCGTCCTTGTCCCTGGTGCCTGGCATCAGCCGTCCTGCATGCGCCAGCTGCAGGATGAACTGACCAGCCGGGGGATAAACGCCACCACAGTCGCTCACCCGTCCATTGGCAACACCTCTCCGCCACTGAAGACCATGGTGGATGACAGGGCGAGTCTGCACGCCGTCATCGAGGAACTCGCGGATAAGGGCCACTACGTGACTGTGGTAGCTCATTCATATGGCGGTGCGGTTGCGTCGGGCGCAGCTGAAGGGTTGGGTGTCGCCGAGCGACGTGCGGCTGGAAAGGCAGGTGGGATTGTTATGATCGTATACCTTGTAGCCTTTGTCGTCCCCAAGGGCCAAACCCTTCTTGGGTATTTTGGTGGAGTCGCCCCTTCCTTCTGGGAATTCAAGGTTGGTTCTGTCAAGTCAATATAGCCATGATACGCGCACGATACTGAATGGATGGTTGGACCAGGGTGACCTTATCTATGCCAACAATCCCGCCATCAGCGATCCGGCCAACCTCTTCTACAATGACCTCCCCCGCGACGTACAAGATTACTGGATCTCTCAGCTTCTTCCCATGGCCGCGGCGTGTTCCCAAGTGCCCAACACTTATGAGCCGTGGAATTATATCCCATGTACTTATATCCAAGCGAAGCAGGACCAAGCTCTGCCACTGGAGATGCAGGAGAAAATGATCGCCACTATGGGGTCCGTTACGAACCTGACCCTGGACTCTTCACATTCGCCCTTCTTAAGCATGCCCCGTGATGTTGCCGTGCTGGTCCAACAAGCAGTCAAGGAGGGGTTGGAAAAGGCGCCTGGTGTTAGTATTCTTACCGCATGATTTTTGCTTGAGTCCGTCTTGCAGCACACAGTTTATGGACAATTTTAAGAAGATTATCATGAACTTGAACCATGTTAAACTTGCAATAACAGCAGGCACACAAGTATTGAAACACAACGCCGTCTTCAAAAGGTTCTGCGGCACTTCAGAGCACAGCAGTACCTAGAATCATAGTAACGAATCGCGTCAAGGTCCTCAGATCAGCTATCTCACAATCAGCGTGGGAAGTATTGAAGGGTCGTCTCAAGCACCTGGCAGCAGAAAAACCTGGCAGCTGCCATCATGCGGTCTAGTAATCAGAGGAAATGGGGGGATAGTGATAGCTGTACAATGCCCCTGTCTTGTTGGCATCAACGTGATCTGACAAGAGCACCGAAGTGTACAAAGCTAGTAAAGATCAAAATAAGTAGGAAAGAATGAATACTAGGAAAGATGCAACTAGACCTCGCTAGTAAGAAGGCCGCCTCTTCGAGACCCTCCGCAGGCGGTGAGATGACGATCTGAATCTGCCTCCCCGGCGCTGCCTCAAATCTTTCTCCACTCCTCCACCCTCTGCCTCTAGCGGTAACCCATTATTTGTTCATCCATCCGTCCCATGGCTGCAGATTCCGGGCAGCGCTCCAGTGAGGGTCCTCGTTTACGACCGCATCATATGGGGAACAAGACCGTCGTGGCTTGTGACCAGTGCCACCGCCATAAGCTCAAATGCTCGCCGCGATCCCAAGGATGCGCCCGCTGTCACCGTACGCCTCCACTTCCCGCTGCCTCAGCCGGCCATCTCTGAACAACCCCAGGATTAGGGATACAGTGCACATCCAGCCGCCCGATCAAGAAACGGGGAAGGCGACCAACTAGGGAATCTCTCCCACAAATACCTCTTCCACTATCGGAACATCACTTGTCGGTGCGGCCCGTGACACCCACCCCGGCTTGTGCGCGGATGTGCTGAACCCCATTGCAGTATGCACCTGATTATCCTGTACTGGACTGCCTTTGCGATCTGCAGGTTTTGACATCGGAACAGGCCACGCCCAGGTAAAGCTCTAACCTCCATCGATTTTTAAGCCTGTCACACTCACCATATGCAATAGCGCTTCCCCGCTTCAACTCTCGCGTTTTGAGGCCTGTCGTCTGTTAGAGCACTTCTATGCTTCACCCAACAGAGAATTCCATGCCTTACTCATCCGAAAAGGCAGACTCTTAGATCAGCGTGCTCCTAGGCCCATATTGCCAACCCTGCTGCTTTCAATCTTATGTACGCCTACGGACTTCTCCCGAGCAATAATCCTCCAGCCATCTCACATGATTTAGGCGTCGCTTGTTTCATGCCACCAGCAGAGCAGTCACTTTATGCATCCGAACGAAGCGTCAATGAGCGCATGGCCCAGGGACGCTATCTCCTCGACAGGCTAATTCAGCATTTTCACCCCAGGACATTACCCGATACTAACCACGTGCTCGATGATGCCTTAACAGCATTCATCATGACAAGTATCGCCCCGAGCGAAAGATCGGTCGAGTCAAGCTTGCAATACTGGCTTATATTCCTCAAATTCGTTGTTCAGAAGTTGGAGCTACACAAAGATGTACCTGATCTCAGTGAAGACGACAAAGAGGAAAGGAGAAGGTTTGTCTCAATTCCTATTACAAACACTAGATCTAACGTCGTTTATATTGAGTCCGTGACAGGCTATGGTGGGCAACTTATATTATTGATCGACATGCGGCCTTGTCATTCAATGGACGACCGCGGATAACCGACAATGAATGTCTATCTCTCCCGACTCCGCGCCCCGATCCAATATGGAATCAGCCCGGCCCGTTACCTCCCGGGTTTCAAGGGCGAAGCGCACATGAAACAGTGCTCAGCTATCATGTAGGGAACCTGGACATGCTAGGCCTCTTTCTGCCTCTGTCAAGGTAGGTCTCCTGAGAGTCCCTAAGCTCAAGCCGTGGTATCTGAAGCTAGTGCAGGATACTGGGCGAGATCTTGGAATATCGCTTCCTTAGCGATCATTCAACATTTAACACATGTCATGGTCTTTGGAACACAGTGCAAAAGAATATCCTACAGAATCTCGAGATATGGTATCATTCATTTGAGGCTCTTGTGGGCTCGGAGTTCTGCGCAATTGCTGAACCAGATTGCGATTCATTTCCGGCAGCAGACATCCCAACAGTGGCCTACTATGGTTTTCACATGTACCACTGCATGTTTGTATTACTACATGGTCCTATGGACGTGGTGCGAATGTATCAAGACCTTACATGGCAGTCATCTTCCGACTTTCTGACGGCTGGCGAGCATGCTGTGGCTTGTGCGAATGTGAGTCACCCCAAATCGCATTGTAATATTTTGATAAACAGAAAGCTTCTATCGTTCCAAATACACCGTTGCTCACATAAGCGGATAAAGATTGCGCGACACATATTGCGAATCGATCCACAACTGTCTCTAATGTATAGGTTTTTCGGAACCTACTTTTTACAATCGTCTTTCATCTTCCTCATTCTGGCACAAAAATTGGGGAAGCGATCCGACGACCTGATTCTACGCAATTGTTCGATTAATCTACAAGTTTTGGACATGTTTGTGGCAGCGACGAATATGGACTACCAACGCACGTTTGCCAAGCTCTTGCGCCGAGCGCTGTCATTCAATATGGCTGAATCTACTGGGGATAGTGTACCCGGACAAGATCAGCCGACGCCGGAACTCACGGGCGCACCTCAATTACCCTTGGATCCAGAAATGTTTCGTTATCGCTGGGCCCCTGGATATACTGGATTGTGGGTTGGCCCAATGGGCTGAGAACAGATCAAACAGGTCATCGTCCGTTCATTACTCCATCGATGTCTACGCGGCTATCAGGCCTACCTGAGCAGTTACGAACGGTCTAATAATTACCATTAGGCTATTAGAGCTCTATAGAATATGGCTCGGACCCGTTATCGCTTGCATGGCCTGCTGGGCAGAACGCCAATCTCTGCCCAGGATATGGAATCTATGCATTCTGTCCGCCCAAGTCCGATCCGAGTCCATGTGGATCTTCGAGGTGGTTCTGTCACTGCCATAGACAGTTGCGTTGCCGGCCTGGCTATCGAGAGATGGGGCTGTGATAAACCGGATCCAATCTTCCTGAACACGGAAGACTAAGGCAGCGTTTGTCGGCGCTTTGGCTGGCAGGGCCTCGTCTGCAGCACGTAATGCATCTGCGAAGCAATCATAGATATATATCAAATCGACACAGTGCTGGGCAATCCCTTGCCGGGGCCCCGGAAATGGGTTGCCCACGCTCATGCGATACGAGTGCACCGCAGTAGGACGCGTTATAGTAGGGCGTTCTGTAAGCTTATCCCTTGGTACTTCCCAATCCCTCAGTTCTTGTCTTGCACACTGCACAGGATACCCGAACTGTATATCCGTCAACATCTGAAGCACCCGTTTTCTAAGCTCTGTTGGGGGAGTGTCTGGCTCAAAGCCATACGCCTGGTATAGATCTTCTAAGAACTCCTTTGACTCCACCCCAGCAGATAGTTGTTCGCTCAGATGCTCATAATTTCTGATTCCATTTACCTCGTTTAAGTGTAGAAGACCCTGTTCGTTATCAGCATATGATCACAGTTCGGTATAATAGACTGGCTGACCTCGACGTCTGTGTCACCAATCAAAACCGGAATGACTCCGGCACCAGAGACCGATGTTTCCGCACTAGGCTCACTGTGGAGGCCATCGAGGTGAATGTTCCAGCGACCATTTGGCCTTTTTGAGATGGTTAGGCCATCTTCCACTAGGGGACAGACGATGGAACCCAACTTCCCAGCCGCTTGAAGGATCTCCGCTGGCGGAAGGTTGACCATGAAAGCCATGCGGGAGATAGCATCGCCTGCGGGAGCTCCTGCATGCTGACAGAAAGCGTTCCAGCGCGCGTTGGATACGTCCATCGAAATGGGACCGAGCACACCAAGGGTCCCCGATTGAATGATCCCTCGCTGGATCAAGGGCTCGCCTTTGCCAAGAACAGCCTCCAGGACGTGGGCATGCGACGAGCTTCCGCCAGCGGACTGACCTCCAACAGTGATCTGGGTGGCATCACCGCCGAATGCCCCAATGTTCTGACGTACCCAGCGAATGGCGGTTCGCTGATCGCTTAGTCCGAAATTGCACCCTTTTCTCTGACCTTCCGGTTCAGCTTGAATAATCTCGGACGAAGCCGCGAATCCAAACATGTTGAGTCGGTAGTTGATGGTGGCCACGATCATGGGAGAGCCTAGCTCAACTGATTTTTTGACGAGGCGAGCCGGATCTATTGGGGTTGATGTTGATCAGTGGTACTGTGACCGGCTACGCCAGTTTCTCAAGCAAAGCACTCACCCCAGATCGGATCTGTTCCCGCACCGAAGCTATATGCTCCACCATGGATATACACATAGACCGGCAATTTCACTTCCTGCGCGTCGAAACCAGCTGCAGCAAGGGCCGCAACACTGGGTCTTGTGATGAACAGATTGAGACAGTCGAACTCAGACTCCGTCACGTCGGCCGGGAACTCAAGATACGATTGATACTCGTCGGTGTTGTTGGGTTCCTGCGGCTGAGGGCAGCGAGGACTGATGCACAAGCCTGGATGTTAGCGTTCTGTAGTCCTCCACACTCAGAAGCAGAGATGGCGACCTACCCGTTCCGTGTTGCATCAAATTCATCCTGGGGTAAGCGATCACGGAGCACTGCATGCTGCCATCTCGCCGGTACAGTCCCGTACGGGATCCCCCGAAACTCTTCGATTCCGGAGATGGATGATTTCCTCCCGATCACCCGCTGAGGATGTGAGGGTGACGTCTGCGTTGGGACAATGACGACTACCTGGTCGGACATGGGGCTGGACGGGACGGGAGCCTGGTCAGAATTCTCGGGCACCCGAAGCTGACGCACTGCAGCAGCCATACTGTCGGTTTAAAGCAGGAAACAGCAATGAAAAGGCGTTGGCAATTCCGAAAGTCATGGTCGGCGCGGCTAATGATTTATACCTGTCGGGGTCGACCATCGTGGAGTTGCATCCCGGCGGTGGATCCCCCTTGATTCCACTTGCTGTTCGCGGCTGTCCGCATCCCAAGCTAATCTGTTCCAGACCCAATCAGCGTCGGCATTCGGACCGCGCCGGTGAACTTTAGTCGGTGAATTACGCTGCCAGCATTCGGCCAATTTCCTTCTGCGCGGCTGGATCTCATCTATTTGGTCGGCTGACAGAGCTTCTCCGCAACCCCGGCTTTGGGGACCAAGAAAAATCTGGGGAGAAAAGGATAAACTCATCCCCAAGTTGCCTCAATATAAAAAGCCCATCCTGACAGCGCTCACTGCACAATGTCTGGCTCTCTGCTTGTGCTCTCAAGTTTGCTACCTGTCTGGCTTTCTCAACCTTCTCTACACTATGACGGCTCCAATGTCGGCCACCGCTGCCGCCCGAGCTGACTGGCGTGCCATTGCAATTTGCCTGTTCATCACCATTGCAGCCTTCCAGTTTGGCTTTGACTCATCCTATTACTCTGGTAGGTTCAGAGCCATACCCCTTTCCCCAAAGAGCGACCAGCTTGAGTTTGCGAATACCGAACGCTTGGGCATGTTCTGATTGCAGTATGTTAACTCACATTCCCTCAGGTATACTGGTGATGGAGCCCTTCATCAAAGCCTACGGACACTATGACAATGCAACTGGGGGCTATGTTCTCAGCTCCAGCGTTCAGTCTCTCACGACCAGTATCATCAATGTCGGTGAGCTCGTCGGAGCCGTATCATCATACCTTGTCGATGACAGACTTGGTCGCCGTGGTGGTCTGTTTGTTTCAAGCACATTTGTCGTCTTAGGGGTGATCTTCCAGGTTTCTGCCGACAAGCTTGCTCTGTTGATTGTTGGACGGCTACTCCTTGGTTAGTACTCATCGACGGACGCTTTACCACAGCTATCACGTTCAATAATCGGTTGTAACCGTTACTAACCGACGCGCAGGGTATGCCGTGGGTCTTATATCATGTCTAGTTCCGCTGTATGTAGCCGACTGTGCCCCGGCCAGGTTCCGTGGAGCTCTGGTTTCTCTCTACCAATTCGATGTTGGCCTTGGACTGCTACTGGGTGTGATCGTCGATAATGCGACCAAGAATCGGAACGACAGCGGCGCTTATCGGATCCCCATGGCGGTGCAGCTGGTCTTCCCAGTCATACTGGTTCCGGGGCTTATCTTGTTCGCCCCTGAATCACCTCGGTGGCTCTTGAAGAAGGGGAAGACGGAGCAGGCCCGTGCAGCCCTCCGTCGCTTGCACGGAAATCGACCGGACGTGATTGAAAGCGAGGTTCTCTACATATCTGGGACTATTGAAGAGGAACGCCGCGCTGAAGGTTCATGGAGGGAGCTACTCCACTGGCATCAGGACGGTCGCAAAGCATACCTGGGGATGGCACTCCAAGGTAAGATGAAAAGCCCCCTTGCCTTCCATCGTCCTCCAATACTAAGTGTCTTCTCCGCATCAGCATGGCAACAAGCGTCTGGAATAAACTTTATAACCAGCTACGGAATCGTGTTTTTCTCTGCCATAGGGATGACCAATTCATTCCTGATCCAAATGGGCCTATACCTGGTCCCCATGCCCGCGGTATGGCTGAATCAATATTGCGTCGAACGCTTTGGTCGTCGTCCCATGCTCCTGCTCTCGTGCGTCCTCGTCGCCATTGTCCTTTTGATTGTCGGCGGGGCCGGAACAGCATCTCATAAAACCACGACTCTCGACCGATTGATCGTCGCCATGGTATACATCTACATGATCGTGTATAATCTCTCCTTGGGACCAGCTGTTTGGGTGGTAACCTCGGAAATATCTGCCGGACCAAACCGCAGCAAGTTGATGGCTACGTCGACCGGAGTCAATTGGTTCTGCAGCTGGATGGTGACCTTTACGTTCCCCTATCTCTTCGATAGTGATGCCGCCAATCTCAGTGCCCGAGTCGGCTTCATCTACGGTAGCTTGATGGTTGCGGCTGCGGTTTGGATCTACTTCCTACTTCCGGAGACCTCTGGACGCACGTTGGAGGAAATTCAGATCCTCTTCAAGAATGGCGTATCCGCCTGGAATTTCAAATGTATGACAAACAAACACACAAACCCCTCCCCCCCTTGCTTGGTGTTAGGCAACACGTTGACTAACTCGTCTTCCTGCAGCTTATGAGATCCCCGAAATGCCAGGTGACTCTGTCATTGACGAGAAAAAGGAAGCACATGCTACTGAGGTAGAGGAGGTATAGAGCGGGGGTGAGTGGACTTGACTCACTGTTCTTGTATTCTAAGTACCGATGAGCGTATGTGTCAGACTAGTATATATGAGGCCATTCAGTGATCAGTTCAGATCTAGTTCAGTGTCTTGCTTACGACCCAGCGTTCCGCGGCTCGCAAATTATATATTTAATTCCTTTGCATGTTCCCAAGCACTGAATTAGCTTTGCTTTAAAGCCATAATAAGGTTTGAAGTCCTATTTCTAGTTACTGATACATTTCCATATCTGTTGACCGCATCACAAAGGTACATCTAGTGCTCCATCGCCATCATTACTAATATCTCCGTCTGGAGACTGGCTTTATTTGGGCTCGGCTGGACTTCGGATAAACGGGGTTTCTGTCCGCTACATGAATACGCGCGAACTGACGCGAACCATCATCATGGGATCAAGATAGAGTTGATATTAATTCTCAAGAATCTGCAAGTCGGCAAACTCCGACAGTGGGCAATTAGATCAAACAAGAGCGCTAGGGTGATTATCGTGATAACTGGACTTTTCAGCGTCTATGAAGAGAAATCAACCGTCGCCGACCATGGAACGATCCTTGGAAATGACATCAGCGTATAAGTTCGCTAAGACGATATTTACCCGTCCCTGAATCCCGAAGTTCATTATGCGAAAGGAAACGTTAATAGCATTAGGCTCACATTTCTCCATGTTCTGCTACGACCCTGACTCGTCCACCGAGACGAGGGCGTGTTCGGATCGGCCGGTTGATCGACGGTGGCTGATTTTTGGGTCTGAGGGACATTGTTTACATGAAACCACTCATCGTCGGGAAAAGACTGCATTTATTGCTTGGCAATCGTACTTGACGAGTTTTCTCGAAGACAACACGGCGATTTTAACCTCGGGATCAGGGCATTTTAAGTAGGCGACCCAAAAACATGGTCGGGATGTGAAACACGCCGTTGGTGCGCCGACACAGGACCCCTGATTCAGGGTCCTCGGCATGCCACAATGCCAACCTTCAGCCCACGGTTCGTTCCCTTTCCTTGGCCCGTGGTAGGCCCAAAATGGTCCCTTCGCCCTGAGCCTCTGCTCTATATCAACACTTCTGCCTGAAACAATGAAACCAGCCTATTTCTCTGGGCATCGGCGCACAAATGGGTTCGCCATGTGATATTCTGAACACGTGGGAAAAGACTGGAAGGATAAATTCCAGCATGACTGCCCAGGCGGCCGCATTGATGAGTGAGGATTTTTCTTCCCATAACGTCAGGTGAATTTACCACAATGAAGCTTCCTTACTTTCTGCTCGGGCTGGCAGGTCTCGCTGCTGCGAGTCCCATGGGACTTGCTGAACGTCAACGTAAGGAGAGACCGTCCTTTTATCCTAGCGGCCACGGCTAATCGTTTAGTTTCCGATGGCAACGAACTGCGCGAAGGCTCTTGTAAGCCTATTATTTTCATCTTTGCCCGAGCATCTACTGAGCCTGGCCTGCTCGTAAGTAATATGGTCTTTCGCACCCGATCAAACACTCAAAATACTCACGAGAATCCAAGGGTATCTCCACTGGTCCTGCTGTGTGCAACGACCTCAAGATGGCCAAAGCCGGCCAAGTTCTCTGCCAGGGTGTGGGGCCTGCATACACGGCAGATCTCATGTCGAACGCACTCCCTGACAATACCTCTCCGGCTGCCATCAGCGAGTCGGAGAGTCTCTTCAAGCTGGCCGCGTCGAAGTGCCCCAACAGCCAGATCCTGGCTGGCGGGTATAGGTTAGTGGCTCTTTACTAACATGATTCTCTCGTTACGCACCTGCTGACGTCCATACAGTCAAGGAACAGCCGTGATGGACGACTCCATCAAGCAGCTTCCTGACGACGTCAAAGACAAGATCAAGGGTGTTGTGCTGTTCGGCTACACCCGCAATGCCCAGGAGGGAGGTCAAATTGGCAACTTCCCCAAGGACAAAGTCAAGATCTACTGTGCCATGGGTGATCTGGTCTGCGATGGTACCCTCATCGTCACCGCCGCACATTTCACCTACGTCATGAACACAGGTGAAGCTTCTCAGTGGCTGGAATCTAAGCTCAGCGACACCACCACTTCTTCGCTGACTGGTTCCTCTTCATCTGATACCTCTTCGAGCACCTCAACCGGTGATTCCTCTTCGGAGTCCTCATCCACAGCGGGACTGGGTGGGCTGAGTGGGCTTACTGGCTTGGGCTCGTCCACATCTGGTGGCTTCCCTTCTCTGGCATCACTTTTCTAATCAGCTAAAGCAAGATAAGCTAGAGTGGCCATGGTAATCATGTGGATTATGGTCACTCCTAACGACGCTCCGGACTTGGCATACGAGTTTATGAACGATGTTATGCTCCAAGTTTTACATGTTCGTACATTGACAAGCATGTCCAGAATGAGTGGAGCAGGATATATTTCGAGTTTACCAAGCAAGCTGTTCAGTATCTGTTACTTTTCCTCTCATGCTGTGTCATTCTACTTTATATTGTTTCACGGGTCCCGGAATGGACTTAAAAACGCTTGCTTGATGATAATGAGCTTACTTGAGATTTTACTCCCCTGTCTTGTGTTCGTTTGATCGGTTGATATTGCCTGCCGTGGGATCAGTCACGGCAAGGAAGCCAAGTAAATGTTCGAAAGTCTAGTTTTATTACTTTGACCGTGCAAGTCCATTTGATGCTACCACGGACCATCTTTTATATTTCAATTAGCCAAAGAAAGCACAATAACCCAAAGGCCGTTGAAGAAGTTCGAGTATTTGAATACTCACTTGGGTGCGACACTCCTTCTCCGTACACTAATGATACCTTCCGGCAAGATTTACGGGGGAGGAAAAAGTGAGGGGTTATCTTGACCGTAAAGGTATTTCTTGATTGTTTTCAGTGGGAGTGCAGATTGAAGATTTATTTTTGGTGAAGGGCTGTCCGCAATAGTGGGGGAATCAAAGATAATTGACTGAATCAAGACTGGAGACTGAAGGGCTGGGTTCAGGAGTGATATGAATGTGTGCTGCCTGAGGCATACGAGGAGATATCTCTGTGCCCAGGGAAGGGGAGAGATAGGCGCCCTACTATTTTCATTGTCACCTTGTATGCCGCCTTAACCATAACTCCCGGGAGGTCTCCTTTCAATGTGGTAGTTCCTTTTGTTGAGTCTCATCTAATCCTGAGAGACGCCGTGCTGAACAGAGGGCAGACCAAATTAAAGAATTTGTTACAGTGGCCAGATGCTCAGTCCCTAGGACCGGTAATCACTTCCAGCAGTAATCCGATGATAACCCCTATAGATCTCATATGCTGGACAAACATTTTCTTTATCGGGGTGGGGGCATTATTTCTGATTCTATTTTTGTGGCTATCGCGGGTGGTACTCGGTGAGCCACGTGGGCTACGTTGGAGTTGCTTTCCGCAAGGTTTGTTGACTCCTTCGGTTGATATTTCAGGATTTGTAGAGGGACTGAATCGTGCCGCATCCTTCTTTGATTCCAGAGCCAGGTCGATGGGGCGGAATTAATAGAATCTCCCTTGTGCAAGTCGCGAGATATGGTTTCGAATCCCGCTAGGGCCGGTGTGACGTCTAATTCTGATCTAGTAGGATCATGTAGACTTCTCATCCCCAATGAATCGTGTTGTGATGGCTGCGTTTTCCACCGCTCGCGGATTCGCCTCCAAAGTATAAATCAGTGGCTGCCCTCGTCTCGTTGCATTGTTTTCGGAGGATACCGGATTGGGTAGACTCCACGAGTAGCGCGGACCCTCTCCCTTTTTACTCTGTCCACCCTTTAGCCATAGCGAGTAGACCGGTCGATGAAAGTATAGTTCGATAACCCCGTGGAAGTATTTGTCAACATCATGATTTTTCCGAAAAGCTTATTGGGGGATAGGGATATTGTTGTGGATGTCGAGTGTCGATAACCGAACCACATGGCAATGGGACAAACAGCCGGTTCTTTGGGAAGTGGAGATTCCGAAGACTGGGTTCACTATGACTGATTGGTGTATGCCGGCAGATCTCCCAGAAAACGCTCTGCATGAAGAGAGGAAGCACAACAAGAGCTGTCGCGCGCTCCATCGTATAGGATTATTCTAGTAATCGGAGTGAAAAGAGAGAGAGACAGAGAGAGATAGAAAGCAGCACGTGGCCGAATTCATGATTCCATCACGTGTGTGGCCGTTCCAACTGGTACCAACTTCCACCTTCCACTTTCCATCTTCCAACGTCACATTCCACTTCAGCTGCTTCTTCATCAACTCCAACTCTCCCTCTCAACGGATTCTACTTGGCCATTCTTGACTCGAGTACCACCAATGACACTTCCTGGTTTTCCGCCCCTCTGATATCGCTTCTAGGAGCTTCTGAACCCTGCAGGAGAACGTGCTGCATATCTCTGCACGGCCCATTCCCAACAATATCTGTTAGTCACTGTCTTCCTGCCCTGTTATCACTCCATTGGATCTAGGCAGCAGCGTGGCCTGATATGAAGTCTCTGACTGACTCGAGAATCGATAGTTTTGCGCCTCCCACGCCAAGCTCTGTCCACCACGTGGGAGAGACCCCCGACGACAGAAATACACAGCATTCTGGAATGGCACCATGGACTAAACTCCACTGAATCGGCTGGTTCTGACTGGCCTCGTCTCGCATCAATCGACTCGCCGTACCAATCAAGCTAGACCTGGTCTCGTACCGGTGGAGTGGTGGCAGTTAGCGGAACGGCGGCGCGGGTGGAGAACCGTGGAATCTCTCCTTCGGAGCAAATTCCACGCCTTCCGGGCGCGGCTTTTCCCTTCCTCACCCGCGTCCCGTTTAAATAGCGACCCCCTGCTGCGTGGCCATCACCATGCTGGCTCTTGTTCTTGCACGCCTCGTCTTCTGTCCCTATACTGCCCTTCTCCATTATGGGCGTGATGCGCAAGACTGCTGACCAGGCCTTGGGCCTGACCGCCACCGCCCTGGCTCTGGTCAGTGCCGCCCAGGCCACCTCCCCGTCCGTCACCGTCTCCCAGGGTCTCATCCGCGGCTTTGAGCACAACGACACGAATGTCTTCCTGGGTATTCCGTTTGCCGAGACGACCGCTGGTGAGAACCGCTGGAAGGCCCCCAAGGCTCTGTCGTCCTTTGCCGGAGGCGAGTTCAATGCCACCACCTATGGCCCCTCGTGCGCCCAGGCCATGTCTGGCACCGCCATCACGGCCCAGAGCGAAGACTGCCTCAGCATGAACATCTGGACTCCACTGAGCGGCAGTGACCTGCCCGTCTTCGTGTATGTCTACGGTGGAGTTATGGTTACTGGTGGCAGCAGCAATGCTCAATGGCAGGGCTACAACTTTGCCCGCAAGGATGTCATCTATGTCAACTTCAACTACCGCGAGAGCATCTACGCTTCGCCTAATGCCCCGGAACTGGAAGGCCAGTCGCAGAACTTTGGCATCATGGATGTGGATTTGGCCGTGCAATGGGTCTATGACAACATCGAAGGTATGCTTTCTATTTCCGCTGCTATTGGCTCACTTAATCACTAACAAACGTCGCAGCTTTCGGAGGAAACAAATCGAACATTGTGCTGGGTGGTCACTCCTCTGGCGGTGTGCACGTCGACCACTACCTCTGGAACCACCCCGAGACCTTCCTTGCCGGCGCCGTCGAGATGTCGGCCAATGCCGAGTCCGGTCCGGCCTATGCCCCTACCGGCGTGGCCTTGGCTCAGGTCGTCGAGGACATGTTGGCTGCCGGCGTGACACTCGGCTGCGATGCCAGCAACTACACGTTGGACTGCTTGCGCGAGGCTGATACATATGCCTTCCAGACCAGCTACTTTAATTCCACCTCCAACACCTGGTTCTCCCCCATTGTCGACAACATCACTCGCTTCTCCAACTACACCGACCGTTTTGCCCAGGGCTACTACCCCAAGTCCCTACCTCTGATGGTTGGTAACTCTGACCAGGAGGGCCGTCTGTTTGCCTATGCCTATGCCTCCGAAAATACCAAATTCAACAAGTGGATCCACACCTTCGACGCGGATGTCGCCTGGGTGCCGTCCGCGGAGCTCTTGGCTGCGTACAACAGCGCTGATTACTCGTCTGTCTCCTTTGAGAGTGGCGCCTGCTACGGCGATGCCCGTTTCCTCTGCGCGACCGACTACCTTGTCGACGTGCGCTCGAGCGAACAGCCCACTTGGATCTACCGCTGGTTTGGTAACTACTCAAACGTGTTGGGCATCGCCGACATTGGCCCTTCCCACGGCAGTGAGGTACCCTTCTTCCACGGTGGCAACGAGTGCTTCTCCAAGTTAAGCGACGTCACCACCGCGGAACAGGAGCTAGCGGACTACATGAACGACTGGTTTGTGGCCTGGATCAAGGCGCCCAGTGCCGGCCCCGGATGGGACAAAGCTCAACCCGTCAACGGTCCTCTGGCTCGCCTGGGAGTTCCGGGCAACGAGCTGGCAATCGAGATGAGCACGACCGGTGCGTACAATGGACGCTGCCAGGCCGTATACAAGCCCAACTTTCCCAAGTATCCGGTGGTGCAGAACCCCGTGCTGCTGGATTCGTAAAAGATGAAGACTGTACGAGGATGTGACGAGCTACGCCGCCGTGGGGTGTGCACATTGTTGTAAATCTATTTTATTTATCAGACATAATTTCATTTAAGGATTTTATTTCCGTCTGTGTGTGTTATGACTCTTGGTCCTCATTGCATGACCTAATGTAAAAGCGAACCTAGCTCGTTTGAGATTGGCTCCGATCTTGGCTGGCTCCAGGCTTGCGCCATCAGCTGCCAGGCTTCAATGTGAGTGTACCAGCTGGCTGCCGGCGGAATCCGATTCCTCTCACTGCTACTGCGGTCATTCCGAAAACTTGGAACGTGCTTGTTGGCACTTGGGACTGGATCGATAGTGTCCCTCCACGTCCCTGGCCCTGAACGGATCGTGACTCGCGCTCGACGATCTCCTGCAGGCCTGCAGGAACACACCACCCACCACTGCGCTACGTGGTGCGATGCGGAAGATGGCCGAGGGCAACCCTAAATTGCGGGGACTTCATCCGCCGAAGTTCACCCATCGCCGCAATCAGCATCGATTCGGTGGATCAGAGCGGAACCACTATCGAAGTTAATTATCTTGGGACCCAAGGAAATTAAATGGAATGTCTTACTTGGGCCCAGACACATCGCTTCGGATGACTGGCCCGCCAGATGCAAGACAGAACGACATGGTTCTACCCTTACAGTTTGGGTTTTCAAGGCCCTGGTTCGGGTCGGACTAAACCTAATACTCAGCAACAAAGCAGCAATCACCACCGAGTGGCCGCAGGATTTTACCTTGTCAGAGCGACCTCTTGCCCCTGGTCCGATAGTTATTAATCCTGGGTTGGCAGGAATGCCCCCGGATAAGAACCACAATATGCCTCCTCGTCCTTGCACGTCTCTGCTGTCGTTGTGACTGTCCGAGGTATCGCACGTCCATCGCCATGGCTCGTCCGGACGTTGGCCAAGTGGTATGAGCAGCCGCAGCGTAACCCGTCAAAAAAGGTCGATCTTTTGTGCTGTTCGCTAACTTCTGGTGGTGGCTTATTAGGTGGCATGGTATATCTGCACGGTCGCCGCATGCATCTTCCTCGTATTTCGGCTGATCATCCGATGGCGACTCCTCAAGAAGCTCTACCTCGATGACTTCTTCGTGGTTGCCGCCGCGCTGTGTCTCATCGGTGATTTGGGCATTCAACACTACATGTTCACTCAGGGTTCGTCGTTTCTCTTGCCTACTAGTGATCCGTGCGACGTCTGACCTCCCGTTTTCTCCCCACCCACAGGCATGTCAGAGATAGCCAAGACAACCACGGCCGAAAAGATCAACATGCAGAAAGTCAGTAGGAGCATAGGGATCTGCACTCCCAAGCATCCACACCTCCGCCCGTTGCTGACTCTGTTCTCCTCCCACAGTTGATCATTCCTGGGTCCACCTTGTATGTTACCTCGCTCTGGCTCATCAAGGCCAGCATGGTGCTGTTCTACAAGCGCCTGGCCGATCGCACCAAGTATCAGACCATCTACAATATCACCCTGGGTGTCCTGGCCGCTGCCTGGCTGGTGCTGTTCTTCGACATCGTCTTCAAGTGCTATCCCCCGGATCGCCAATGGAAGAGTTTTGAGAACCCGGACTGTGAGTGGGGAGGGTTATCGGATGCTTTTAGCAGATGTTGACTAACTGGCTGCTAGTGACATGCTCCGAGAAGCAGTCGACGATCAATTACTGGCTGACAATCCTATGTATGGACCCTTTCGTATCTTGTACTTTATGGGACTCACAGCTAACCATGCCCCTAGTCAACATCTTTAGTGATGTTTTCAGTAAGACAAGGCCCAGCAACAAACTAATTACATGGTGAACTAACGTCACAGTCATCTGTCTTCCCATCTCCCAGGTAGCACGCCTCAAGATGCCAAGAAAGCAGAAGCTCGGTGTCATCTCTGTCTTCCTGCTGGGTGTCATCGTCGTCATCACTAGCAGTTAGTTTTGTCCTCTTGCCCTACATCACATAAAGTCAAAGCCAGGCTAACGGCACCAGTTATCCGTGCTATCTACTCGCATTTGGGCGAGCAGATGATTACTTGCACGGTCTCCATGATCGAAACGGCCATTGCCATCATTGCATCATGCCTTCCTGTCCTCCGCACTCTTGTCTTTGGCTCCCACTCACGCACCGGCACGTACAGCGGTCGCCGGGGATATGAGCTGTCCAACTCTGGGGCTGCGGGATTGGCCAGTAAGCAGCATACCACGGTGTCAGTATCACGCGGGGGGCCGGACGAGCTGTCGCGACATGACTCGGAAGACGAGCTGGTCAAGGAGAACATGTCGGCCGAGGATCCTACCGCGGGTATTTCAGTGACACGGGAGTATTTCGTACACGAGGGCGCTATGGAACGGCAAAGCATGCGGTAGATATTGAGCCGGAGGTGTCAGCACCTGCTCCTTTCTAGAACTTAATTTGATAGGGGCTTCAAAATAGTAATTTCTATATATATATATCATTCATCATGAGGAAATCTGATAGTATAATATTCGCATATCCGAAACTAGAGTTGCCGATCACAGTGGGACCAGGACCTTAGCCTAACAATGTCTTATACAAAAACACTAGTGATATTGGTAACGGCCACCGTCGTTCGCCAAGCCCCTAGAAGGTCTACAGTATTCTACGACGGAAGAATAAGCTACAACTAGTAGTGCCTAGTTTATTGACTATTTCGTCCATGTAGATAGATCACCTACTAATATATTTCTATGATATGTACTTGGACGGTCAATTCTGTTTGACTAATTTCATCGATCAAAATGATAGATCTCTACGATGTAGTATTATTTGCAGTAGCATTACTGCAACATGATGATGTGTTTGCTGGTTAAGGGCACTTAAGTAGTAGTACTAGTACTAAACTGGTCACATTAAACAAGCTGTCCATCCAACTGAAAATATATATTTGGGATCAGTTTTGAAAATTCAATCTACGGCAACATACAGAGTAACTATTCTGTTAGATTTACAAGTTGTAACTCTCACAACTGTCAAAGCTAGATATGACTACATTGCTTCAATTATTTCACACTAATTTTACTGCAACAGATCATGCTACAATTGCTCAAGTTACGGCTGCACATGTTCCTTCCAGGGTCCAATTCAAGGGTCGCTTACTCATACGGTTCTATCCGTCCCGGACTCGTGATCGGCATTCCTTGATTCGGCATCCCGGATAGTCTCCGTTTCCGGACTAGTAGTCATACATTATAACGAGAGCTTTATGCATCCATTAATAAGCACCCTTGAATTGCGTCTAAAGGCTACACTCATAGTAAATACTTCAGCTATCCAGGTCCATCTTACTCTACATCTGAAGTAGGGATGGCAGATTCAATCGCGGGTGAGTCTTACATTCTTTCTTCGTGTTTGATATGAATAAGTCATGGGGCGCTGTTGAGACAGATCTTGTTTTCCCATCATGCTGCGACTGCCTGAGCATATTGATGATCTTCCCTGTGCTTCGTAGTTGAACATTGCTTCGGGACCATTGAGATGCATAACACTGGGCTGGAAATTGGCAGATGTGCCCTCAACCATATCTCCTTGTTCTGTTCTGCTGCATGGATCACGGAGATACTCCAGCGTCCACCGCCCGCTAGTAGATACGTTTCTAGCTCGTCAGTCTTGATGCATCGGCCCCATCGAAGTGAGAATACGCGAAGGCCTTATATGCCCAGCTGATCAGCAAGTGGATGAGATGCTGATCGACCACATTACAGATGCTATCACGGGGCTGTGCAACGCCACTCAACTTAGTGTCTCCCTGTCGCACTTCTGATTGCTGCCTACGCGATCGCCCTCCGATGCCTGTGGGCCCTCACGCTGGCAATTAGTGTAGCATTTTGCTGTGATATTAGACACAACCTCGTAATTCCCATCTCAATCAAACCCAGCGAAACATGAGCCAGCGTGCTGCGGCCGCGGTAGAAGCATTAGGATCCGTATGGTCTTCTTGCTCGGGTTGAGGCATCTAGTATTCAAGTACCCGTCACTGGCCCGAGAAGATCAACGAAGGGGTCAAGATTGCCCATGTCGGCAGGCGCGCATAATGCCTCTATATCGGGCTTGAATTAGTTGTCTGGTTTGGACTGGCTCGCGATGGACACATCTCCAATAGCTCCACGGGCACTACGTCGAGTGAAACGCTCCCCCCGGGGTATTATGGGAAAAAGCCATGTGGACTATAGGCAAATCTTCACGTTTCTAGTTTTTGAGTTTTCCAGTCTTCATTGTTTTCTTTTTTCTTTTTTTATTCACTTTTGGTATTGAGCGATAGTCCATATCCTAGAGACGAGTGCAAAACTGCTTTTGACCACGATTGAAGCTGTGAATGCTTCCGCAGAATATCTGAGATGGTTATCCCAGGTTGAATCGCCCACAGCGGCCTGCACAACCATGTCAATGCATTGTGCTGATCTGATAGTACCTTGTGTAATATTACCTTAGCCTGTTCGACACGCCCCAGGATCAGCATTCTGCAGGGATTTATTGCCCGACCCCGAGGACGGATGATCAATGTTATTGTTGGAGCTTCAGGACCTGGAAAGAGCGCTGTAGCTGCGCTCCTGGACTGGTGGTAAAATCCGACAGAATCCATGGACGTCTAAGCTGAGGGCAAACGTGGACAGATCATTGTAGATGATTATGATATGATAGTTCGAACGCGAGGTGGTGGCAGGCCCAAGTCGGATATGTGTAGCAACATTGGAGCATTTGGACCCGTTGGAAGCGACAAGAGCCAGCAAGATAATTTGACGATGGAGGTATTGATTCACGCCTGCGGAAACTCGGTTGTCGAGATAGTTCATTCTTGGTGGGCTCATCCTCAGTGGATATCAATGTAACAGTCCCCTATTGCGCGCAGAATTGTGAAAAAGTGGCCAATTTTGATGAGGGCACGAGCTTGATTAATATTCCTGGCAAAAAGCTGGCTCAAGCAGCATTGAATCATGTATCAGCCAACCCTGATTACCCATGGTTAGTTATTAGTTCATCAAGCAGATCATATATTTGTCATACAGCATGGAATAGTTATCGAGGGAGGCACCTATAAACCACTTCTCGCCCGGGAACAAGGCTTATCGTAGTTTGGTTCACGCCTAGGTATCGGACCTGTGGACCGAAATCAGCGAGGAAACGGTAGAATGAGCTCATTATTTTCAAGATCCGCAAGCCAATCAACATCCAGCGAGTGAGCTTGGTGCAGGTGATAATAAGACATTCGTAAGGCGTGGTTTGGAATCCTAAGTCTTCTAATAGCGTGAAGTTGTGTGCGTAGATGTTGATCTTCTGGTAAGTCCTCTGTGCCGCGCACTTTTGCTTAGAAAAAAATGTCGATCGCTTCGATGGTGCTACGTACGGTGGCCAGCTTGGCGTCTCGCAGAATCATAACACAGTCACTTTCATTAAAGATATTGCGATCATCCAAGGGCGGTAATCTGCTGGACAAGTTTTCAGCTTCGGCCCAAACATTGCCCAGGCCATGACTTCAGAAACTGGATAAATTATCAGAGGATCGAAACGGGTGCAATGATGCAGGAGAGGGCCTGAAAGTTTAGACTATGCTGATCGCAGCTTGACGGCAGACGTAGAGTTTCAGAGCGTTGCCTTTCGGTATTTCGGGACGCCCACCCTTTTCCGCTTGAACCTGACAATCCCGAGCGGGTCGGTCATCTGTAGCCTTAGTGGGTGCTTTCTGCTGCGGTAAGTCCTTAGTTATCTTGTTGCGAAACAATTCTACGAGCCAACCAAGAGGACCATTCTCTTCGGGGGACGAGACATTGCCTGTATCAAGCCGGCATCCTGCCGTTGAGCCCCGCCTCTAGTCGCCCAAGGCCCTAGATATTTGCAGGGACCATCAGACATAACTTCATGGCTGGGCTAGAAATCCAGACACCTTCTACGGGCATCATAGTCACGAAATGGAGCAGGTATATGATGACACGAGATTCATCAATCCACCATGTGGCTGTCAGTTGGCTATGCAAGTGAGCTAGGGACTAATGCGCATACTGCACTTTGTGGGAGTCGAAAGCAGTCTTGGCGTGTTGCCCGTGCTCTAGTGCACAACCCCTTGACTGCTGCTCTTGGATAATGCCACCTAAAGTCTAGGATTACCATTGCGAAAAGGTCGATCAGAGAGCCAAGCGTCTGGCGGCCAAGCGTGATCTGACAAGGATTGCCGTAGCACAGCGATCATGAAAATCCATAAGGTAATCATATTTTCGCTTTGGGCGAGGGCTGTGCTGCACAGGTTCACATGTTCTTGATCATGACTTGGTGCATTTAAAGGGTGTCTAATGGCAGATGGTAGGAATAAGCCTTCCCAATAATCCATAGCCATATAACATGCTGAGATCGGGTTACCAGCGGGAAGCCACTGGAAGTGTCGTGCACAAGCATGATTGAACTGGCATTAACTTTAATATCAAAATATGTGGTGTCTAGTAGTAAGGCTGGTGCACTGGAACCGAATCAGACAGAGATAGGAGATGAATATACTAGTAGCAGGAGGAACTGACACTACTGATGATTGGAGGAGAGGGGAAGCTAAGAGCAGTACTGTTGTATGGATAGTAAAATCCTTCGTCAGTCATGTTGACATAGGTCAGGTCAGATATGGAAGGTTATTAATGCCCTGAAGATCACAACTTAGACTGAGCGATGGCACGCACAGCGAAATAGAAAGGCGGTGACTGGGATGAGAATAGCACTTGCGGTAGGCGGTAAGAAAAAGAACTGCTTCCTTTTGTCTCAGGTTCCTCCGCCCATGCTTCCTTTCTGGGTTCTTGTCAAATGCTTGTATAATGTCGATCTACCTTTCGGCTATGTTCCTTGCCGTAGCCCCCCAGCGGGGTTTCAGTCCACGCCAAGCATCGAAGCCCCCGAAGCCTGGAGAGGCTTCGGCAGGCGAAGCTGGTCTGTTAGTACCGGGGAGGTGATGGGAAAACCCCATCCCACTGGCTAGTAGCCTCGTGTGGGCCGGCGCACCATACCCCTATTAGTACTAAGTTTAGGAACGGGACACCAGTCCAGGCCGTATCGAGTGCAACGACCGCGAAAATCGTCTCAGGATGGGACATTGTGAGAAGAACACGGAGGTGTGTTCCTCTTCTGCGCTCCAGGCATTATGGAACTGGCCCAGATACGGTTAAGTTCAACAATAGTACTACTTGGGATTTCGCCTAGAGAGAACTCAAACATGGCGGGATTGTGCCTGCCCACCCAGATGGACATGATGTGACGATATTCGGGGTATACATTGGTGAGTCACCATGCTGGAGAACTGATAACTTATCTCACGACAAATTTCCTGACAACGAGGGCGCAGAACAATCAGCCACGATGGATTTTGCGGTCTCTTGACATCCTGCTTTAGCAATTTCCTGTACGGTTTGGGTGTCCCTGTCGGCGGCCGAAATCCGTTCTAGACCATTTGGCTTTTCTGAGTCCCGTTGTTGTTCGGGATGGGTGGGCCGTGAACCTTATTGGGCTGCTCCAACTCCAATGAGGTCGTTCAATTGTCTCCAACGGTTCCTGTGTGGGCTCCGGATCCCTTATCCAGCTGTCACCACAAATATAACTCGACCTGAACCTTTCAAGGCATGGCTGCCCTGCATGACCCTAAACCTTGCTTTATTCCTCCGTCGGCGCCTATCAATTCTATTTCTGTCTCACGGGATGCTTACGAGAAACAGATCGAAGTCTTCAGCTTGGCGCGCGAAGTGCGCATCTTGTTAAGGTGCTGCGGCTAGGCATCATTACGCGACTCTCTTCCTGGGCATGACTTCGTAATATGTAAAAGGGAATGATTCCACTGCGAAGCTGTGACAAACTCCCCCGTCACATAAGGCATGAAGAAGAATCTGTAGGACAATCCGGTAACTTGCCAGGAGATACGACCGGCGTGCCTGGATCTTGCTCATCGAAATTTCAGGTATGGATGGATTGGCAGTAGGACTTCCATAAAGAAGCAATGCAGATGTTGCAGTAGCTTACTAGGAGAGAGAAAAGCACTTGTAGGTTTGGGTTGGTAATGTGTTAGTCAAATCCAGGTGAAGGCGCGAAACACGGAGCCTTTCTTTCCTTGCACCTTCATTGCTTAGATTTGGTTTCGAACTGGTGGACCGCCCCGATCGCATCGTGTGGTTCTCTACCGCCGCCGTTTCAGCGCGGAACCACCTCAAGCTATCATGGGCCAGGGTCTGAGAGATTGATTTGCTCTGATTCGCTCTCGTCACGGTGTCACGACTAAATACCATCGTAGTGGCCCAAGTGATAAACTCTGATCTGCGCTGCTACGATTGGACCCTGTGCCCACCATAGCCTTGCCTTAGAACAGAAGCGGCCGAACATCTTGGGCGCTACTATAAGATGGTGGCAGGAGCTAGATACTTGGATAGTAGCCGACAATCAGTTTCCTTGTCTCCTAACCCTTGGACTTTCGCGAGGGCCACCACCTAGCAAGAATGCCACTGGAAGGCCGTAGCGAGGCCCTTGTGGCTGTGTCTGTAGTGGTCATGGTTATATCGCTTGTGACAGTATCCTTTCGATGCTTTGTGCGATGGCGCATACTCAAAGCATTCGGGTGGGACGATACACTGATGGTTCTTGCGATGGTACTAAACCCCTTGGATTTTCCCTTTTCCGCGGTCCAATCGGACTGGGCTGGTATTCAAGCCTAAGCTCACTACATCATGAATCACTAACATGTTTCCAGGCTCTTGATATAGTGCTTACCGCATGCGCAATCGCTGGTGCAAAGGAAGGCGTTGGCCGGCATTTCGTCGATTTCCACAGCTCCGAAGACTTACACCACGCCATGCTGGTACGTAAAATGACGTCGTCTTCAGCCCACATGAGATACTGAACGGCCTGTCTAGTGGTGGTGGCTGGGTCAGTGCCTCTATATCTGCGCGTCCGGGATCGCCAAAGTATCCATTGCGCTCGCGCTTCTCCGACTGTCGGTCCAGAAGTACCAGCGCATGATCCTGTGGACCGTTATGGGAGCGTCGATTTGTATCAGCTTGATATTCTGGTTCCTCATGCTTTTACAATGTCATCCTGTTTCGGAGTTTTGGGAGCGGACAGGGACGGGCAAGTGCTTGAACACTGATATATTGATTAATGTGGCGTACGTATACAGTGGGATCTGCGCCATCTGTGACTTTGCACTGGGGCTGCTGCCCATTGATCTCGTTCGCCAGCTGCAAATCAATCCAAAGACAAAGATGGCGCTGGGCGCGACCCTGAGTTTAGGTTGTGTGTATGTAAACTGTGCGATGCTGTTGATACAGTGGCTAATATCCGGCGTCTCCAGGGCGAGTGCAGCTGTTATCCTTCGGATTCCCTGCCTGCATTACTACAAGGACATTGATTTCTTGTGTAAGTGCCACACATCGTGACCCCCTTTTATTCTCTGCACCGGCAGCGATAGTCTGTTTGTTGTTAATCCACTCAACTCAAGCCATGGCCAAGACAGCTAACACTTTCCCGATCTATGTGTGTGTGTGTGTGTGACAGATTCGACCTTTTCCATCGACATCTGGTCCTTTATCGAGGTTGGCCTGGGAATCACGGCGGGCAGTCTGGTCACCCTCCGTCCTCTCTTCCGTGCAGTTCTTGGTGATCCACCCGATCGCAAGGCGAAGAAAAGCCGTGGAAGCATGCCACTGTCCAGCTTCACGGAATACACGCGGAACCGGCTTGATCCTGAAGATGCCGCAGTGTGGCGGCCGCCGCCTGATGCGACGCGGAACATAACCACCACGGTGATTTCGACTTTCCGAGGGAGTTTAAATAGTCCCATCACGCCAACCTTTGCGGCCGAGTTAAAGAAGGGCCGGTCCGTTCGGATTAAAAAGTCATTTCATGTTACTGAAGAACAAGTTGGCTACTGAGCGCGGAGAAGCTGATAAGTTATAGAGTATATAATGACAATGAAATCCATATTGTTTGTAATCAACATCTGAGCTGTAGTCAAGCGAAAGAGAGGAGAGATAAGAGAGAGAGAGAGAGAGAGAGAGAGAGAGCTGGAGGCTGAAGGCTGGAAGGCTGGCAGGTTGGCATTGTTTGCACTCGATGGGCACCTGACTGTCTTGCCTTTCCGGTACTGATAGGAGTAAGTAGTCGGTATAGTAACGTCTGTCGTCCATCCTCCTCTCGCCAGCTATTCGTCTAAAAGCCACAACTTAATCAACGGTTTCTTCCTCATACCGCTCAATCACGTAGTAATGCGCATTGCAAGCTAATCTACATTGGATTGGAAAAGGACGGACTAATTGCAGCTTAGCTACCAGTCATAAATGGAAACTAATGAGACCGCAATCTTCTCGTCAAAGACACAACACGAAAGCACATCCCGTCGGAAGAAGTTATTGAAACCTACAATCAGCTCTTATACTGTGCTACAGTTTACTTCAACCGAGCTTCCAGCACCACCATGGGCACACCCGGGGCCTTGTACACATTCGCCAGTCGCAGCCCTGCCAATTCGAAGAGGTGCGCAAAGTCCTTCACCGTCCGCTCGCGCCCACCAAACGTCATCATAGTCAGATCCATATACGCGTTAGTTGCGGTCGCGCCAATTTCGGGGATGATCGTCTCGGTGATAAGAATTCGCGACCGCTCTCGATCCATCGCATCCGCCTGGTGTGCGAGGATCTGACGGACCTCCTCATCGGGCCAGTCATGCAGCACGCGACGAATAAAATACACGAGGGCGCCTATTATATTACCAATGAATATGTTAGTTCGACCGATAGATGGGGCTGTGGGAATGGTGGGGGGCTGCTTACCCGGCACAGGTTGGGGGTTGAAGAAATCATGCGCCATCGGCTCAATTCCGTGCGACTCCATCTCGGGGCCATTATCAGCAATGACACTCTCGCGATCCTGCAAGATATACCGCCCAGGGATACCTGCCAAGCTCTCCTTGAGCTGACGCAGAATATGCCCGCGACCCCCGCCGACGTCCACGATCGTGGCGATGTCTGGCTGCGCAAGTGGACTCAGTGTGGACCCGAAGGGATATAGGCCAATCTCCGCAAGGAGAGAATCCTCCGCCACCATGGCATCATTCAGCCGGGTTGCGCGGGCAGGGTTCTGAGATATGTGCTCGAACATGGTCTGTCCGTCGCAGCCATGCACGAAAGTGAACGGATTGCGGCGGAGTTCGATGCGATGCTGCCAGCCCTGCTGCGAGAAATATTCATGGGCCCGTAGCATGGCGGGCGAATACTCATCGACCCTGGCCAGCAGGTGGCTCTGGTTAGCCATCGGACATGCCTGGCGATCCAGAGAGGGGGCCAGCAGCACTTACATTAGACTGAACACCGCCCGCATCTGGGGGGCCAGCAGGATTTCCGACTCGGCGGTGTGCGCATACAATTCCTCTCCTGTCTCGCGAAAGGGTCCCGTGGGCGTCAGGGCGCGCATATGGCGCACTGGAACGGGTCAGTTCAGTCAAGCACGGACAGGGAGCCCCCTTGGTAGCGCAGACCGGGTCCCCCCATGGAAGCGTGATAGCCTACCGATGAGTTCTTTATCGACCCCGGTTTTGGCCGCGATCTCCGAGGCCGAGATGCTCTGTCCCCCGGTCGGGATGGCATCCAATACCCCAGCTTCCAACAGGGTCCGAATTGCGCCTATCCGAACCATCTAGCATAGCGCACCATAGCGTATTGTTAGCTTCCATGGTCGAGGCCAGATTCACCGATCAGCTCCCTGGTGAAGCGAGAACGTACATCTTCAAAGTTGGCAAAGACGAGGTCGGCCGGGCCCCGAATAGCACGCACCAAGCGGGTAGCCTGGGTCATCAACTGGTAGCGAGCATCCTGACTGTTCTGGGTGGTCGCTTGATTGCGATACTGGTCGACAGCGGCCGTGACCTCGGCCAGGCACTGCTGAATCTGCTCAAGATTGGGGTCAAATTGGGCCATGGTATACTTGGACAAGGATAGTATGCGACCGGGGGGTCCTGGTAGGATGGAACCACTCCGTTGGGATGACCAGGGCGACCTACCTAATATACTTGTCACACTTGGCCCCGGCATCAGGGGGGACACTGGGATCTTGCCAGGATGATTGGCGGGAAGAGAGTGGATAGGCAACGCGACCTGCAGCTATAGCGCCAGACGGCGTCCAGGCAGCGCCGGTGCGCCACCAGCCGATACGTCCAGTTTCCTCAGCCAAGCCGGGGGAAACAGCCGACAGGAATACGAGGTGACCATCCTATAGACACGACAAAACCCGGATTCAAGGTAGAGACGAAGGATTATGGTCGGTGGACGGGCCCCCGTACTTTGCTGTGGATGGACCAGGCCAGGGCCTGTGCTCGCCTCACATCCCGTTCTTTCACCCACTGTTCTTCCCGTCATCCCGGATAGCAGCTCGACTATATCCCAAAGCCCACTCCTCCCTCTGCCGATCATCCGTTTCCCCCCCCTCACATTCCCTCATCAGCTCAATTCCCCTCTCGTCCGGCTCCACCAGATTATGTAGGACCGTCGGACCAGTCAGCCGGGCTTTGTGATATCTCCCCGCAGGTTCCGGGGTGCCGCAGGGTCTTCGAACCTGTCATGTTCCGCCCAGATTTCCATCAACCCCTGCATCTGACAGATGCAACTGATGCGCATCCGTGATCTTTGACAATGCCCCTGACAGGGGCACCCAGATGACTGTATCCCAGACTAACCTAGTCGTCACGCGATCTAGGCACAGAGGAAGCTTTTGATCATTTCCTTCAGCCAGACAAGGAAGTTCGATAGCCAGTGGCGTCTCCTCAATGGGATAGTGACGGCGGTATTCTGTTCCCCGGAGCTGGCAAACTATACAATGCAGGTGAGAATGGTCTCTCGGTAGTCGCTCCGGCCTGCATACGAACGAGTCCATACTTCCGCGCTCGAGCCAGAGCAAGCCGGACGGCGCCATGGACACGAAGGATAAGTAGCGAGGCTCCGACCAGCGTCCTTTGCAAATTTTGCTTTGGATCAGGACCAGCTCTCTCACGGACGCGCAAAGACAAGCTTCTCCCATCATGCCGTCGGTAGACCTCAACCAGATCCCTGCCTCCGCGCCGCCCGACGGCGTGACGCCCAACTTCGTGAACCCACCGAACCAAAATTATCAGATCTACTCCATCAATATTGCCCTCTGCCTTACAGGTACAGCGGTCTTGATCCTTCGCTTGTACACGCGTGGTAAACTCCAGAAGACCATTGGGGTCGATGATTGTGAGTGCCCAGCCTAGTCGTCCACTATAAGGGACCTTATTAATTGCCTCGCAGGGTTCTGTATCTGGGCGCAGGTCTGCGCGTGGCTATTTGCCATTTTGTGCATGCTCAGTATGTAACAACAGAATTGAAACCCGTGGAATTCCGGAACTAATGATGACTATAGATATCCGGAACGGCTATGGGGTCCACATTTGGGACTTATACCTCAGCAAGATCAAGCCCTTCAAGCAGGTACGTTTCACACCGGTGGCAAGTTGCACATAGCGGGCAACCACTAATTATTGCAGTATGATCTTGCGGCTGAGGACATTTTCGTCGTCGGAATCTGGCTGGTCAAAACGTCCATCTTGTTGTTCTACCTGCGCTTGAGCCCCGAAAAGCGGTTCCGCCAAATGACATACGGGATCATGGTCTTCGTTGCCTTGTACAATATCATCAGTCTGCTGGTGTTTACCCTCGGCTGTATACCGGTGCAGGCCAGTTGGGACGTGACTCTGATGCCGACTGCCAAATGCGTTGACCAACTCTCCTTCGTCTACGCTAATGCGGCATTCAATCTGTTTTCCGATCTGATCACCCTGGCGTTGCCTATTCGACTGTGCTGGTCTCTTCAGACCACTCTCAAGCAGCGGGTACTCTTGATGATAGTGCTAATGATGGGTTCTTTGTAAGTGTCTCACGTTTGAGAACCACTGTCCCTGGCTAAGCTAATCTCGTGCTCTGTTACACAGCGCGTGTGTCATTGCGATCATCCGCATTGTAACCATGATGCCATTTGTCTCCAGTATGGACCTGACCTGGTACAAAGTGACCTTAGCCAAGTGGGCGTATGTGTTCCTGTTTCTTCGATCTTCTGATAGCTATCAACTGACACATACACACAGCATGGTGGAGATCAACGTGGGTATCATCTGTTCGTGCCTGCCGGTGATGCGGCCTCTGCTCATCCGGTTCTTCCCCGCTGTTTTTGGCAGCCACGCCAGCAGCGGAGTCAACCCTATCCGCCGTGCCGACGGCAAGGACACATTTGGTGCAGCTCGCAAGAAGGTGATCCGCAACTGGGACTACCTCAGCACAGTTAAGGGAACCCACGCGGGCGAGACTGCGCACGATGTTGAGAGTCTGCATGAGGAGCCTAAGCATGACAATGGCAGCGCTGAGCCGGCCATCATGATGGCGACCGAGTATTCGGTGACTTGCAAGAGACGATCGGATTAGATGCTCAGGCATATGATCATGAGCTTGCGAAACAGCGTTCAAGAGGGGGGTTGGAGCCAACAGCGGGATTGAGAGAACAGGAGCCGCTATTGGACACATATGTCACAGAGAACATAATCATGAGGGCAGCAGTCTCTGTCGCCAGCTGAACTAGCCCGAATGACCAAGTCGGACTGAATATGTACACTTAATAATCAAATCATCATAATTTTTAATTTAGTAATAAGGGGTGCCTAGAGGAACACCCGGGAAACGTATTCACGCGTTCTAGTTGGAGACATGAGAAGCAGCTAATACGAGGAATCCCAAGGCAATGGTTACTACCAGCCAGGTCCTCAATAAATAGCCGCGGACCATTTGCTCAATTTTGGTTGACACATTTCCCCCCCAAACTCTAAATTCAGTCGACACCGGTTTTCGCGTGATAGACAGGGTGTCACCTTTCAGTTCCTCGTCCCTAGCATCCACAACACAAACAAAATCGTCAGGTTATCTCATTCAGGTGTTGTGTTCTTACGAGGATTGGCTGGAGGGTACGGGGTACGTATTACAGTCACACTGCCACAGAATGTCTTAAGAGCACTTCGTAGAAAAGCAAGATGAATCTTTAGAAACACTGGAATAATCCTGCACGCTCTGGTAGCTCGCACAGTCTACAGAGGCCAGCCATTCGAAGTGAAGTCTTGTTGGACCAGCAGAGTGCGGATCCCTGGCGCATAGCGGTTGTGGCTGTCAGAAAGGCAACGTTACTTCTGCGACGGCTGAAATTCAGTGCCATGTATCATGGTACTCCTACCACCACCATTACAGATGCCATTGCTGATCTAATAATTAGTAGAGATCAAAGGATACTGCATAAGATCTTTTTAGGATGTGGATCTACTGTCAAAGGAGAATACTATACATTTGGAAGAACTAGCTAGAACTTTCTGTGCGCAACCAATTATATTCTGCTTCCCGCCCTCGCCTCACCTTAGAGAAAAAGGATATAATGAGTATATGGCAAAAGCTGTGAGCGGACCAAGTACATGTCAGGAGCAATAGCCTGTTGAAGGGAGCTGAGCCAAAGGGTTTGCAATTAAATAGAGTTTACCGAACAGTTCTTGTACTACCCTAATGATGAGTTTATTCGTCGGTGACCTCACCACTCCCCAAAGGTTACCGTGGTTCCGTCCATGGAACAAACGCCTCCGAGTCATCTATTCTACCACAAAAATAAGCATAATATTGGAGCCATACATCGTTCTTTTCATATGACAATGTTATATGATATCCTGGCTCTAGACCGAAGGTCTTTACTTAGTATAGTAGTAATCCTTAGTGTTACAAGATATTTATTTGAACAATAACAACAATAATACTAATATTATGATTGTGTGTCTATCTTCCATACTACTGATATTGAGTACATAATATACTAATACTATATGAGATCAAGATTGGTACGACCATACTGGGTGGGATTCTACTGACTCGTATCGAAATGGTTGATTAGGTTTGGTTAGGCGTCGCATGGTTTTGCAGAATTGTCCGCGGAGGCACGTTTCAAGGTGTCCATCGATTCGACTCGGCCAAACGTCGCCTATCACTATCTGCCATCTAGACACAGCGGTAAAAGGCCTGTTCTGATGGATCCGTGGACCAGCATGCCGGATGCGTGAATATGCCCATTGCCTGGATACATGACAAGTCCCTGGGCAACTGTCATGACTTGGTTGGAATTAATAAATGTCTTCCAGCCCCAGCCCCGACACGTTCTAACTTGATAGTATAACTTCTAGAGATAGCCCAGTATAACCCAGAATCTCAGCCAGATTGCACAAGCTACGTATCTGTTATTGCAGCAGCGTGTTTCATACACCTGTACGACAACCAACCTCAACAATCCACCGAGGTCACCATGGAGCACAAAGAAAAAGGTAGCGGGATCTTCCCATGTCTTAATAATGGTGTCGGAATGGAGTCCTCAGTTAGGCTTCAAGATGTTCTCCCTTCGCCCGCTCAGGATATTGAGAGGTTCTGCCGAGTGCATGGAATTACAACCCTGCATTTCATTGAGACTGTCTGGTTAATCGTCCTTGGACCATTTCTGGATGCTGACCGCGTCTGCTTCGGTTACCGGGACCATCGCGATAGACCTCCAGACCCGACCTCAGGTCCGGCGAAGGTCATCGAGTCGGACTCGTTTCCCGATGCCTCAGTGGCAGAGATGCTCAAGACAGGCTTTTGTGCAGAGCCAGGGAATCCATCTGATGAGCAACCCCCAGCCCATAATACTGCCGTGGTCCTGATCAAGGAAATTGCGGGCTCCGACCGATCGTATCTCTTGGAGGAGGTGAGAATTTAAACACCGCTTAAGTGCGACATATTAAGCGTGTTGGAGCGCTGACAGGACGGTATAGGCCAAGCAATGGGACTATGGCGTTGTGTTGGTGGGTGAGATGAATGAACTCCTGGCTTTGGTGAGACTATCACTAGTCCACAAAACTTCAACCCTCTCACCATGCCTCGCGGAAAACCTCTCGTCCACGGTCTTACAGATCATCCAAGAGATTTTGGCCGATCCTAATCGGCATATCAAGGACCTGACTCTATTCAGCCCACTGAACCGAGACAATGTTCTGCGGTGGAACGGTGGTAAACAGCAGAGTCCAGCAACATCCCTGATTAAGGTTATCCAACAGCGTGCATGCGAGCGTCCACACCACCCAGCCGTGTGTGCGTGGGATGGGACCCTATCATATTCACAGCTTGACTGTCTGGCAACGCAGTGGGCCAGCCACCTGCAGCGCTTGGGTATTGGGCCAGAACACATGGTCCCTGTGATGATGAACAAGTCACAGTGGATGGTTGTGGCAGAACTCGCCATCTTGAAGGCCGGTGGCGCTTTTGTGCCCATTGATCCAAAGCAGCCAACTGACCGATTGAGGAACATAATAACCCAAGTGAACGCTACAGTTGCAATTACATCTACCGACCTGGTACCGATATTATCGAGCCTCCTCGGCACGATTGTCATCATATCTTCGGAAACAACCTCGAATTTACCGACCACCATGTCAGATGTACCAGCGCGAGACATCACCCTTGAAACCACGGCTTACGTGCTATTCACATCCGGAAGTACCGGACAACCCAAGGGTTGTGTTGCGAAACACCGCGCGCTGGCAAACCTGGCAAACCTGGCACCAAGTCTGAAAATCACAGCCGAGAGCCGAGTATTGCAGTCTGCCTCGTACGGCTTTGTAATGTCCTTGGCTGAGATATTCTGCTCCCTGACAGTAGGGGCGACAGTATGTATCCCCTCGAAGGAAGATTGTATCAACAACCTCCAAAGGGCGATGGAATCGATGCTGGTCAGCTGGGCGATACTCACCCCCTCAGCAGCACAGTCCCTGGTAAGCCCGTTGGCATTCCTAAAGACTCTGGTCCTAGCTGGCGAGCCCATACGCACCGACCTCTTTCAAATGTGGGCACACCAACTAGATCTACATTTGGTATTGGGGTGTACTGAATGGGCGGGTGCATCTGTTTCACCGCCCATCCGTTCTGAGGCAGATATCAGATGTATTGGCACCTCGCCGACAGGGCGCCTTTGGTTGGTGGATCCCACGGACCACAATTGCCTTGCTCCACTTGGTGCCGTTGCTGAACTGCTGGTGGAGAGCCCTGGGCTGGCAGATGGCTATCTCAACAATGCCTCACAAACAGCATCGGCCTTCATCAATGCCCCTGCCTGGTATCGTATGATGGGGCCGGTCAATGATACCGGGGTGACACTTTACAAAACGGGCGACTTGGTGCAGTATTACGCCGATGGCAAGATCAGGTATATCGGCCGCAAAAATACTCAGGTGAAGATCCGCGGGAAAAGACTCGAATTGGGGGAAATAGAGTATCACATCCGTCAGATTAGCCCCGCGATAGAGAAGGCCATAGCCGAAGCCGCTGCCCCGAAAGGCAGTGAGACCCCAATTGTTGTCGCCTTTTTGTACTCTTCCGACCAGGAGGCTCTACTGCTACGCTTCCAAGCACATGTCGATTCGATCAAAAAGGGCCTGGAGCAGGTACTGCCCGACCACATGTGGCCGAGCATTTACCTTCCCCTCGAATCTGTTCCGTTGACCACCACTGCCAAAACCGATCGAAAGAAGCTCCGTCACATTATTTGCACTTCTACTCGCCAGGATCTGGAGAACGATCTGACACCGGCATCTCCTATCGTGCCACCAGCGACCGAGTTGGAGTTGGAACTTCATCAACTATTTGCTGAAACCCTGCATGTCGAGCCAATCTCCTTTGGCGTCAATCATAGCTTCATCCGTCTTGGCGGCGACTCGGTGACAGCCATGCGTTTAGCCAATCGTTGTAGTCAAATGAACTACAGATTGACGATGCAAGATATTCTTCAACACCAAACGGTGGCCAACCTTGCCTCGCAGCTCGATCGGTACAGGAAGGATAACGCGCCATCCTCCACACCTGCCATTGAACACCTGACCCCTGAACGGTCTTTCCCACCAGTGAGCGAATCTGGCATCCAAGACGAATTTGTCAAAGTGCTGGAAGCAAGCATCAGTGCTACTGATGCTTTCACTGATCGTGGTGTTGATTCCGCGATGGCCACGCAGTTGGTCGACCAAATCAATGGACAATTCGGCACTAAGATTACTGGCAACGAGATCCTCCCAATAATAGCTGCTCTCGCGAAACGGCCTGTGTCCCAAGTGAATGAAAATCTGCCTATACCTAGGACACGATCTACCGAGCCAGTGGTGCAGTCATTTGCACAGCGCCGCCTATGGTTTCTGGACCAGTTGCATCCCGATTCAACACGGTATCTCCTGCCCCTTGCCACACGACTGCGCGGTCGTCTCAACCTTTCTGCGTTGGAGATAGCCCTCAATGCAGTAGTAGAACGCCATTAACCTCTCCGCACCACGTTCAACAATCAAGATGGCATTGAAGTGCAAGTAGTCCATCCCTTCAGGCCAAAGCGGCTTGAGATAATTGATATGGCGCTCAAGGAAGACCAGGACATCTGGGATGCCTTGCAGAGCGAACAACGCACCACATTCAATTTGGAGGACGAACCAGGATGGAGGCCATTGGTCTTCCGTCTGGGGCCTGATGATCATATCCTGTCAATTGTCATGCATCATATTATATCCGACGGGTGGTCGGTGGATATTCTTCGAAACGAACTCAATATCTTCTATTCGGCAGCAATTCGCTCATGTGAGCCCCTTTCACAAGTTGATCCGCTCCCAACGCATTACCGTGACTTTTCGGCTTGGCAACGGCAGCAAGAAGACAAGAGCCAGTCACGAGTAAAGGCCTGGCTTCAGGAACTTGATGGAAGCAAGCCGGCTGAACTCCTCTGTGACAAGCCACGTCCTGCTATACTCTCCGGTGATGCGGGTCGTCGGACAGTGGATATCAGTGGAGGGCTCCACCGGAACCTGCAGCGCTTTTGCAGGGCCCACCGGGTCACCGCTCACACGGTTTTGCTCGCAACCTTCAGGGCAGCGCAATATCGTCTCACAGGTGCTACAGATGCAATAATCGGCACACCGTTTGCAGGCCGCTATCAACATGAGCTGGAACCACTCATTGGGTTCTTCATCAATCTTCAGTGTATTCGCACGGAGGTTGAGCATGCGCGTACGACATTTTACCACCTCGTTCAGCAGGTTCGAGCAAAAATGCACATGGCATTTACTAACCAGGATATCCCTTTCGAGAGGATTGTGTCGGAGCTAGCTGACAGGCGCGACCTCTCCCGTAACCCCCTTGTGCAGATGGTTTTTGCTGTCCACTCCCAAACAGACTTGGGCAACTTGAGCATCGAAGGTGTGGAGGCTGAACCATTGACTCTGTCTTCAACCTCAAGGTTTGACCTGGAATTTCACATGTACCAGGGCAGAGACTGCTTTAGAGGCGAGATCCTCTTCTCCCTAGACCTGTTTCACCAGGAGACAATAGACATACTACATGCCCTCTTCATTGACGTCCTCCACCATGGATTAACTCAGCCTGCTACGCCTATTGATTTAATCCAACTCAATGATGCAAACGGAACTCTGCATCAGCATGGACTTCTTCACATCCAGGAAAAAGATTATCCTCGTGGGTTGAGTGTAGTTGATGTATTCAAGCAACAAGTCAAATGCTGTCCCGCCAAGATAGCTGTCAAAGACTCCTCCACGGAGTTGACCTATCATGAATTAGACTCTCAATCAGATCGAGTCGCCATCTTCCTGACAAATCAGTCACTGGCCCCGGAAAGCGTGATTGGGGTCTTTGCAGACCGAGGGTGCGAGACAATTGTCGCATTTTTGGGCGTTCTAAAGGCGAACATGGCCTACCTACCGCTCGATGTTAAATCCCCAATGGGCCGCCTTGAAACGATCTTGTCATCTGCCCACATGTGCAAGATCATTCTCTTGGGCAGTCGTATTGAACGCCCTGCTCTCAGTATAAGTGACTTGCAGTTGATTCCTATTCCAGACATTCTGACCAAGCGTGACCGAGATGACCCCACGATTTCCCACACATCGTTGACCATGATGCCTAGCGCCGAAAGTACTGCATATATCATATACACATCCGGCTCCACAGGAGTACCCAAGGGAGTCATGATCCAACACAGGGCAATACTTAGGTTAGCACGGTGCACCGATATTATCAGTCACCACAACAATCCTGGAGCGATAGCACATACGAGCAATATTGCGTTCGACATGTCAGTCTGGGAAATATACACGGCACTTCTGAATGGACAGACATTAGTCTGTATTGATCCTATGGCGGTATTAAACTACAAATTGCTTGGTCACATTTTCGCACACGAGGGAGTCCAGATAGCTATGTTAACCCCAGCGATGCTTAAACAGTGCCTGATTGAATCCGCATCTACCATCAGCCAGTTGGAGATTCTGTTGATTGGTGGCGACTGCCTGGATCCATCTGATGCTATTACCGCGCGGACACTGGTCAAGAGCGAGCTCATAAATGCCTATGGGCCAACCGAGAATGGTGTCGTGAGCACCCTATATAGGATTCCAGACAATGGGATCTTTCCCAACGGTGTTCCTATTGGTAGATCCATCAATGACTCCGCTGCATACGTGATGGATCCTAGCAACCGATTGGTTCCAGTTGGGGTAATGGGTGCGCTTGTTGTTACTGGCGATGGTTTGGCTAAAGGATATGTTGATTCACAACTGGATATTGGCCGTTTCGTGACAGTCCATATTCCTGGGCGATCACCGATCAGAGCCTACCAGACCGGAGACTGTGTCCGATATCGGCCAAGTGATGGCCAGCTCGAATTCTTTGGCCGCATGGATCAGCAAATCAAAATACGAGGCCACCGTATCGAACTCGGGGAAATTGATCATGTACTCCTTCAGAACAGCACAGTTAGTGACGCGGTTACGGTTGTTGATCGACGAGAGGGGCACGAACCGCAGATTGTCAGCTTTGTCACCGTCCGTTCAGACCCAGGGCAGATCCAAGCCACCCAACGGAATCTCCAGGGTTGGTTAGAAGGCAGGCTGCCATCCTACATGATTCCCCAGACTATTGAAGTGTTAAACCAAATGCCCATCAATAGTAGCGGGAAGGTTGACCGCCAAAAGCTGGCGAGAATGGCCGAGGTCCCCACTCCATGCCAGCCTACAATGGACCAATTGCCGCCAATCGATGAGGTCGAGCGAACGGTGTTGGAAGAATTGACCGCCATGCTTGGTGTCGAGATGAGAGTTACCGATAACTTCTTCAGGGTCGGGGGGCACTCACTGATGGCCACCAGAATGGCGTCCAGGATCATGAGACGGCTTGATGTGGAGATAACGGTGCGGGACATATTCGAGTACCCCACCGCTGCCAGCCTGGCGGAGAAAATTCGGAATTGTGAACCCACCAAGTACGTTCCGATATTACCCATTGAGCACAAGAAGCCGGCCGAGGAAGGGGAATCAGGGGAGCAGCGGGAAGCAGTGGAGCTGTCCTTTGCGCAAGGTCGCCTCTGGATGTTGGAGCAAATGAATCCCGGTCAATCTTGGTATCATACGCCATTCGCTGTGCGGCTGCAAGGCTCTTTAAACCTCGAAGCCCTGGGAAAGGCCTTTTTCACCCTTGCGCAGCGCCATGAGAGCCTTCGAACGACATTTGAAACCCGCCGTGATCATCCAGTACAAGTAGTCCATCCCCATCCATTCGACTCTCGACCCTTAACCGTGATTGATGTCAGCGCCCGCCCAGATGCGGACCTTGCGGCTGTTCTTCACCGGGAGCAGACAGCTCCGTTCGACCTGACTACCGATCCAGCGTGGCGAGTTGCAGCAATTCGCTTGGGACCAGAGACACACGTCCTCTCCGTGGTAATACACCATATCCTCTGCGATGGTTGGTCAGTGAGCATCATCCAGAAGGAACTAGCTCTATTTTATGCTTCCGCTGTTCGGGGTGAGGTGCCCTCATCATGTCTTGCTCCGCTCCCAATCCAGTACCGCGACTTTGCGGCCTGGCAACATGAGGTCAGTCAGGGTCATGAGCATCGCCGACAGCTGGAATATTGGGTAACCCAGCTGGAGGGGAGTCATCCTGCAGAGTTTCTGTGTGATAAGCCACGGCCAGCGTCCTTCGCGGGAGCCGCTGGTGTTTGCCAAATTCAAGTTGAAGGCACGGTATACACGCAATTGCAGCAGTTCTGCCAGACATATCAGGTTACGCCCTTTGTCGTCCTGTTAACGGCATTTCGCATCGCGCACTACAGGCTGACAGGATCAACGGATGCAACAATTGGGACGCCTGTTGCCAATCGAAATCGTCAGGAACTCGAAGACTTGGTAGGATTTTTCGTCAACCTCCAATGTATTCGGATTCCAATCGAGGAGGTGTCGTTTCTTGAGCTAGTCGAACAAGTCCGTTCAACTACATCTGCAGCATCCGCCAATCAAGATGTGCCGTTCGAGCACATTGTAAATACTACGCAAACGGACCGTGATCTATCACGAAATCCCTTGGTTCAGGTAGCTTTTGTCCTTCACTCTGAAGCAAACATGGCTGCATTCCATCTCGAGGGGATTGATACTGAACCGGTCGATCTCGTACCGACTTCGCGGTTTGATATGGAGTTCCACCTGTACCAAAAACACAATACGATTGAAGGCTATATTCTGTACGCCGAATCTTTATTCACCGCACAAACGATTGAAATTATACAGCAAACATTTGCCAAGATCCTCAAGCACTGTCTTCTGCTACCCTCTACCACGCCTGGCGCATTTCCGCTGGTGGACGACTATACCAGCCCGGACGCAGCGGCGATGGGACAGGCCTACGGCCATTGCACGGACTATCCACGGGATATGAACGTGGTTGAAGCTTTTCAGCAGCAGGTGGCGAGTTTCCCAAACCGCATAGCAGTCACAGATCGGTCAGCACGACTGACGTATTCCGAGCTGGATAGCCGGTCTGACCGGGTTGCATCCTGGCTGTCGGTGCTTTCGCTTCCCGTGGAAACGCCCGTGGCGGTGCTCGCAAATCGATCATGTGAAGCTACGGTTGCCCTTCTTGGGATTCTCAAAGCAAACTTGGCATATCTCCCACTAGATGTTCGAGCCCCCGCAGGCCGCATTGAAACTCTTCTCTCATTCGTACCCAATTGCAAACTGCTTCTGCTAGGATCTGAGATTCGGAATCCTGTAGCCAAAAGGGAAGGGATCACAACAAAGCCGATCACCGAGGCTAGCATGACATCTACATACCTTCTTTCGCGACCGTCGGCCACCAGCCTTGCCTACATCATTTTTACCTCCGGATCGACCGGACAGCCAAAGGGTGTCATGGTGGAACATCGTGGGATTATCCGATTGGTGAAGGGTAGTAATGTTGTGGGCGAGACCGAGGCGGCCTGCTCTGTCGCTCACATGTCGAACCTGGCCTTTGATGCCTCCACATGGGAAATATTTACTGCCTTGCTGAATGGCGGCACCGTGGTGTGCATCGATTCGAAGACAGTGGCAGATTATTCTGCGCTTGGTGAGGCGTTTCAGCGTGAGAGTGTCCGCATGGCACTGTTTACGCCAGCGCTACTCAAGCAATGCTTAACTGCGTCTCCGGCGACGGTCAGTATGCTAGACACCTTGGTTACAGGAGGCGACGTACTTGATCCAGACGATGTGGTCAAGGTAAAGCGACTACCGAGGCAGCCTCGCGTTATTAATGCATATGGGCCAACAGAGAACACGGTAATCAGCACAATCTACTGCATACCACCTGGGGGTGATGCATGCGTTAACGGAGTTCCAATTGGTCAACCAATCTCCAACTCTGGAGCCTGTGTAGTGGATCGCGACCTCCGGATCGTGCCTGTCGGTACCATTGGCGAGCTCATTGTTACGGGAGACGGTCTGGCCCGAGGCTATACACAGCCAAAATTGGACCAGGGGAGGTTTATAACTCTGGCGGTCGGCTCAAAAACAGTCCGCGGGTATCGCACCGGCGACATTGTTCGATATCGGCCTGGTGACGGCCAGTTGGAATACTTTGGGCGCATCGATCAACAGGTAAAGATTCGTGGCCATCGGGTGGAACTTACTGAGATCGACCAATATTTGCTCGCTTTCAGCTTCATCCAGGAGGCTGTATCAATCTACCGGAAAGAGGAAGCCCTGGGATCTGATTTGGTCAGCTTCGTTACAGCCGATGATGGTCAGGACTGGCACGCAACCATGGGAGTCAGTGGACAAGATACGAGCGGGCAAGTTCAAGTCTGGGGAGAATTTTTCGAAACAAACGTTTACCATCTCTCTGGACTACATCCCAGCGAACGTGGAAGGGATTTTAGAGGTTGGAAGTCGATGTATACTGGTGCACCGATCGAAAAGGCAGAGATGAACGAATGGCTTGACGACACTATCGGGGCACTGCTTAATGGAGGCTCGCCCGGTCATGTCTTCGAAGTCGGAACTGGCACTGGCATGATACTCTTCAATGTCGTCGAAGGGCTTCAGAGCTACGTTGGGCTTGAGCCCTCGATTGCGGCCTTTGAATTTGTCCAGGCAGCCGTCCCCAGTATTCCTGGGTTAGAAGGCAAGGTACGGTTGCAGAAAGGGACGGCCGACGATATCAGCCGACTTGACAGATCCAACCCTGTTGATGTCGCCATTATCAACTCGGTGGCGCAGTACTTCCCATCCCCTGGATATCTGCTCAGGGTCGTGGAGGACCTGGTATGTCTGCAAGGCGCCAAACGCATTTTCCTTGGTGATCTACGGTCATATGCATTGTACGAAGAATTTCAAGTGAGCAAGGCGCTATACGGTGAGACACATGGAGTACCCACCATGGCCAATATTCGATCACAGATGGCGGAAACTGTTCACCTAGAAGAGGAGCTCTTAGTAGACCCGGCCTTTTTCACTTCCCTGCCAAGCCGAGTCCCGCAGCTCATTCAGCATGTGGAAATCCTGCCCAAGCGTATGGTAGCTACCAACGAGCTAAGTTGTTACCGCTATGCCGCTGTCCTGTACGCCAAGCAGCAGCCGAACTTGGAGCTGCGCATTCACGACGTCGAAGAGAGCCAATGGATTGATTTTTCCGCAAGAAAGATGAATCGCGAGTCTCTGTTCGAATATTTGCGACAACAAACCATTGATACATCTTTGGTGGCAATCAGCAATATTCCCTACAGTAAGATTAACTTGGAACGGCTGGTAGTAGACCTGCTGAAGGATCGCTTGGTCGAAAGGATAAGAGGACCTGGCTGGCTCGCGTCACTCAGTGAAAGGGCCAAGAAACTTCCATCTCTTGCAGCCCCCGACTTGATAGAACTGGCTGAGAAGACAGGCTTTCACGTCGAGATCAGCTGGGCCCGCCAGCACTCACAACGTGGTGGGCTGGACGCCATCTTCCACCGCATTGAGCCTGCCCAGAAGGGCGCAAGGGTGCTATTCCGGTTCCCAACAGACCACCAGGGACGAGCACCTGGTCAATTGAGTAACAACCCACTACAATTGTCATCCAATCGAGACATGGAGAAATGGGTGCGGAAGGCCTTGCAAAAGTCATTGCCAACGTATATGGTCCCCAGACTGGTCAGGGTTTTAGAGCGAATGCCTATCAACAGCAATGGGAAGATCGACCGCAAGGCTCTTGCAAGCATGGTTGCTGGCACTGTATCCCAAAACACTGTGTCAGCTAGAGTCGATCCGCGTGATGATCTGGAACGAGCGTTGCTTCATCAGTTTACGAAGGCGCTCGGGCAAGATATCGGCGTTCTCGAAAGCCTGTTTGATCATGGGGGCCACTCGCTGACTGCGATAAAGCTGGTCAATGGGATCAATGAACAGCTCCATACTCGTGCCAGGGCGAGTGACGTCTTCGAGTGTCCTACTGTTGCCGGTCTCGCCGCAAGGATTCGATCCTGGCCGGGATCGATAACGAGACCTGTCGCCTCAACATTTTCCCTTGTTGGGGGCAATCTCTCACCCGCCACTTCAGGCGAGCTCGCCAAAATTGGACTGAGTCCCACTGAAGTGGCTGATATCGTTCCTGTGACAAACACACAGGCCTGGTTCCTTACCCGATGGGCCCCAGTCTCCATGCGCCTTAATCTCCACGGCAGGATCGATATCAATCAGTGGAGAACGGCTTGTCACGCTGTGGCACAAAAGCACAGTACTCTACGCACTTTGTTTACTAGACTCGAAGGGAGATTCGTCCAGGTCATCCTGCGAGCAGTCAACGTTCCATTTACCAAGTTGACCAGTGATACGGTTGCCGATGAGGCTCATTCTAGGCTTTCTCCGGTCTCCACGAAGCTATATACGAGATTTGAACTAGTTTCTCAGTCTCCGACAAGTCACTCATTCATTGTTCGGTTGTCTCATGCACAATACGACGGGTTTTCACTCCCGCTCCTCTTTTCTGATTTGGCCTCAGCTTACAATGGCAACCTGCTCTCGCCATCACTACCAGTCCCCTTCTCGGACTATGTATATGGATGTGCATACCACCGATCGGCAGATTCGCTGAGCTTCTGGAATGACTATTTGCGGGGGGCTCGCCTGACCACCTTATCGGATACGACCCTTTCTGGGGATTACAAGGCTGTAGATGTTAAACAAACCGTGACTGGTGAACTTCCCACGTCGTTGCCTGGAATCACATTCCCAACTCTTGTCAATGCAGCATTCGCTTTCACGCTGGCAGAGATGGTCTGTAGCCAAGATGTCACATTCGGGCTGGTTCTGAACACCCGTGACCTACCTATCAACGGCGTGGAGGCCATTCTTGGACCGTGTATCAACCTCAGTCCCGTGCGAGTGCAATCGCAGCAGGCGTGGACCGTCAGCGAGCTTTGTCAGAACTTACATGACAGTTACACCGCGGTTTCTCGTCACGGATACCTCGAATTGCCGGATATTGTTGCCAACTGCACCGACTGGCCAAGGGACAGTGACTTTGGCTGCTTGATAAATCATTTCCCTCCGGATCGTACCCCTTCCTTCTCATTGAAAGACGCTGATGTGGTGGACTTTTCAATGGATACTCGGATCGATCTGACCGATCAGCTGCTTGTTCGCTCAATCGTGGGTGATGGAACTTGGGAAGTACAGGCGCTGACTTCAAGCAACGTGATGAGCGACAAAAAGGCCTCCGCTTTGGCTGAGAGGCTTTTGAAAACTGCGCAGAGATTTTCGCAGTACCCAGAAGCACCCTTATCTTCACACTTATTGCGTTAAGCTTGTGTTGATGCTTTTGGAATAGCTGTATGTAGCTTTGTTGATTCTGTTCAGGACGCCGGGTTCGAGGACTTGTAGGAATTGTGATGAGCATTGCGCTCATCGCAACGATAATAACGTATCCTGACAGGATTCTTCGCGATTTCGGCATGTTATTGTGTCGCGCATGCTAGCTGTTACTGAACTAAATATATTGCTCCGTAAATCACAAATTCCTCGAAATGTATACAGCCGGCCAGATTCCTCGGTTTCGAGGCAATGGTAGCACCAATCTCCTGTGACGATTACCTTTTTAATTCCGTCCATCTCAACTTAAAGAAAACCTGACAAGTAGATGGAAGTCGAATACAACTCTGCTGGGTATGTGATAGTAAGACTCGGGAGGTATATAATAAATGCGTCGGTCTGTAGCAACTTGCAGTGCTTGCTGCAAGACTGAACCGTCTTTTGCACACATTGAAATCTTGAATTAGAGCAAAATTCTATTATATCCGTAGAGTTCGATATTAGGTACACATTTGCGACCGTAACATGTCATGAAACCCATCGTCCATCATCAGCATCTGCCATATACACACATAATTATTAGTTTCCCGAGACGGCATGGGACAGTGGCCATCCATCCATCCTCTCTATACATTAAGTCAATCATTATCCACCATCGACCTGAATCGCATCGCCATTATCGTAGAAGTATCATTAAGTCAATCCCTTAGTTGCACACCAACTTGTAGCTGACATATTCGGCATCGCCTTGGAGGCATTGTCCCAGGGTCACGTTGTGCTGGCCAGCGGAGCAGTTGTCTTCGGTGAAGATTTGCACTATTTATAGAATTAGCAAGGCACGTGAGAATATACTTTTTGCAGAAGAGATAAGCTTACCACCACAGCCGGCGACATTGTATTCGAAGCTGACAGACTCAATGGTTTGGTTGCCGGGGAAGGTTTTGCACTGGTTGAGAGCCGATCGGTAAATACCCAGTTCGCCCATGTTCTCGTTGTAGCAGCCGGGTTCGCCGAACAGGCGGAGTTGAGCGAGACGAGTATCGCCGGTGGGAAGGGCCACGACTGAGATGACCATTGCGATCAGGGCAGAGAGGAGCAGAGTGAATTGCATGGTGATGATGAAGGTGGGTTTGGGGATGAAGAGTGATTTTTTCGAGAGTGGTAGTAGGGTGGTTAGGACTGAAAGGTTTATAGGATTATAAGAATTATATGATTTAGGACAGTAAGGTTGTTGATTTACTGAGTGGAAAGTAGCAGGTACATGTCCTCTTTTATAGACAACAGACTGTCAGCCAGAGTGAATGGCGCAGTCATCAGTCTCCCCGCAACAACCGGCTGTTGGTTCTGGCCTGGACTTGATCAATTGGGGATTTCGCGCATCCGCGGGGGCAAAGATCGGCGCCTTGCCTCGACGATCCCTGCCGTGAAGGAGGAAAAGTGATGCCGTCCGTCAGCCGAGTTGGACCCTCCCATGATGCCATTGCAACCTTAAGAGCGGCGAATCCTCTCACCGTCTTTCTAAGCTCTAAATTTTTACTCTTTTTTTGGGAGGTATCTACAAGGACCATTCACTATGATTGTCTCTACTATGGAATTCACTCACTCTTCCTCTTTCTGCCGCGGTTTCTCGCCGTTGAGCAACAGTCCACTGCCGGTCCAGGTTACAATCAATCGGAGGCGGGGGCTGGACGCTTGAGGCTGGGAGTTTTGGGGGCTGAAGGGAGGCTGGGAAGACAGGAAGACGGCTCACTGCATGCATGTCTCGGATGCGCCACGTCCACCATTTGGGGTTTCCAGGCGGGTGGGGTTGGCGATCATGGAGCCACAGTGGGATTGAGTGGCCATTGTGAATCCTGTTCATCCTTCGCGGCAGGCGGACGAGCCGGATCATCGGATCGAATCGGATAATCAAGGGGCAGGCAATTCATCGACGATGAAAGCCTCCTAGCTTTTTCATTGGGAACACGAGGGAGGTTGTTGTGTTGTTGTGAATATTGCTAAGATGCGACCGGAGTGAAGTGTTGAAAAGACAGTTCGACAGTGCTTCTATTCCGAGCACCGATCAGTCGGGATGTGCTGGCTGGTGCAGCTGAACACCGCATCAGCATCTGTCACCACTTGTTGCCGATGCACTCAGCGACCTGTCAACAACATCAGCGGAATGCACTGTGCTAAGAATAGCTGGAATGCAGGATATCGATAAGAATAGAACAGTGGCAGGGCTGAGGGGCACGATGCAGGCGAAGATTATCACTGGGGTGATGAGGTGGACATGTTGGACCATCTCAAGCCCAGAAACAATCACGCCCAGCAGTCAGCAGTGCAACCTCAACAACTGGTATCTTATTCCATCACATCACATCACATCGCAGGTATTCGGTAGAAGATGGGGATGGATGGACACGGAGCAAACCGCGTCACACCGACAACGCCAAGGCAGTGGCCGGTTCACAATCGCCACACACTGCCAGGACAACCATGTCGCCTTGTGATGACTTGGATGAAAATGCCTCCCAGCCAGCTTCATTTATCGAAATGGATTGTGCACACATCTTTCATGGATCCTCAAAGAGGTCGATGGACCGTACGCCGCGCTTAACTGCGGAATAGAGGGCGAGAGAGACAACTCTCGCCGGCCATGGATTCCGACATTATAGATTGGCAGTGAATGGAGACTGGATCAGCCGCAAAGTCTTTGGTATTCGGAAAACACTTCCTACTGCAAGCTAACACTCAGAGATGACCTCGACAAGTTCGGGGACGCATGCAAAGAACTTCGGCGATATCCTCGCAGGATCCGGCATCGTCGGAGTCGCCGACCGCTTTAGAGTAATAAAGTCGCCGAGCAACCCGCGTTATCCTCCGTAGATGTCATCCGATCGCAGCGCCGACGAACCTGCTCTTCATCCCGATCATGAAGAAGGGCAAAGAGGTCGTAGAGAGACCAGTTCACCAGTTCACCGGGGAATCGGCGTAACTCCGGTATTTCCGATCGATCTCCCTGCGTTATTCTTCAGTCAACCTCCCATCAAGACCCCAAAACACGGTAACGTATGATTGATTGGTTATTAATGACTACTATTTATCCCCTTCACGGGTTGCCATAGACGAAGCGATTCTAGGCCTTGGAAGGGATGCTCTAGACCTTCTGCCTCATCGCGCAGGCTCCGACGCGGGCCGCTGGTCGGCAGGGATGCATTAGTCGTGTCAATAATAACCATGAAGGCGGGCCCATCGCTTGCCTCGCCGCGCAACCAATGCAGTGAGTTTCTGCGACTTCTGCTGCCTTCGACCGCGGCTGGTGGACTCCACCGAACATTCTTGGATTCTTTCTGGGTGTTGACGATCGCGTCTCCCCAACCAGATGCGGATCCACTCCGCCGTCATCTTCCGCTTCCCCAACACTGCATTCCACAGTGAGTATCTGGACAAAGGTGGCAACGAGGTGTATTGTTGTAGACACCGTGATTGCATTTTGTCTTTTATGTAGACTGTTAGTACTACTATGTGAATTTAAACATGACTATCAGAGGTCCAATCTGGTACTATGTCGGTCACATGATTCCGCAAGGTGTGACGGAGTGAGAATATATATAAACAGCCAAGTGAATCCCTGTCTTCCAACTTCAGTTTGGTTCTATTAGTATGACGACCAATATTCACTACATTATTCGGTTCCTCTCTGGATGCTAAGTATTACTTTCCCAAGTAAATGGAAAATTAGGATTAGCCGGAAGGAGCCATCAATCCTGGGCAGGAACGAGGTTTTGCAGCACCTCTACATTATCCCTCCGGTCATCCCGACTCAGGACAATTACTGATAGAATGACTGACTAAGGACCAGCGGGCTTCAGCTAGAGTAAGTAAGATATAAAACTCCAACCCAGACTTCACGTCACAGCATCCACGCAGTTACAGTGCTCTGGGGATGACCGCTCCCCAGAATATGCACCCAGGCAGCAACGGATCGATGCGGACATCCGCCGCACCCGGGAAGGAGGAGCGGACATCTGCCGCCACCCGCCGATAGCATTAACGATGTCCCTAACAGCGAGGTATCTGTGACTTGATGTTGTGCAGTAGCAGCTGGAAATAGGTTAAGTTGCCAAAAAGTGCAGTTGGCTGATTAGGGACTCAGCCCATATACTGGGACAGTATATCTAGTAGGGGATGTCAACGCATCAACCAGCAGACCAACCACGCTGATTTGCGCCTAACTGGAGAACAGGCAGAAGGATAGATATCCCCCCAGCAAGAAACAGTCCAGTTTGCTAATCGCACAACGCGTTGGGGATAACGATAAAGATTCCCGCAAAACCTCCGTGGGATTTAACGGGCAGCGTTGAACCCGTGATAGGTCGGTTCAGCCGATCAAGGCGCCAAGTGGGGGAAGCTAATGGAGGTCCTAACTCGGGGACGAGCTTCCCTTCTGTTGATGCAGGGGTATGATACAGCTCCTGAACGAGTGATATAGCCGCTGGAGTGCTTGTGCGAACTAGAATGAGTGACGGAGCAACACAGAATCCTGAGTGCTGCATAATGTATTCACAGCTCCTCCCTAGCATCTGCTCTCGCTTCCGCCTTCAGATCTATAAACAGCAGACATGCTGTGGAAGGATCGCAGTCGTGCCTGAATTGCTGAACCCTCACTAGCGCTGAGGCGTTCGACCGGCCGACCAGGCAGATTGACCGGATACCAATCAAGTCCCAGACACTAATGCAAGGTCGCTGTGCCGCATAAATGCTCGGTTTCAAGGGACATGGGCGGCTAAACTGGCTGGGGGATGTCCCAGAAGGTGGCATCGATTCTTATTTCTGATGTCCTGCCGCGACAGAAATAATATCCTGTCTTTGCTAAATATCCTATACATTCTGTTTCCTCTCTGGTCCAAAGCTACTACATTATGTCTACCACCCCAGAGGAAGAAGCGTTGCATCAGCTGCAACAAGAGCAGTCGAAGCTGCTGGACGCCATCGACGAGTTACGAACGATTGGCGTCGGCAGCCTCGTGGAACTTCCTCAGCTGGTGGTCTGCGGTGCCCAGTCAAGTGGGAAGAGTTCCGTCCTCGAAGCTATCTCCCGAGTGAGATTCCCAGCGAAGGACAACGTCTGTACGAGATTCGCGACCGAAGTCATCCTGCGCCGGAGTCCAACACCCAAGATCAAGATTTCCATCGAACCGGGGCGGTCGCGTAAGGACGTCCGAGAACGAGCGACCCTTCAGGCATTTGCGCAGGAGCTGTCGCCACACGACAATGATTTGCCGGCTGTCATTGAAAAAGCAAAAGACTACATGGGGGTAAATGAAACAGCCCATTCTGGATTTAGCGATGATGTTCTCAAGGTCGAGATTCTAGGACCCGATAAGCCAGAATTGACCTTGGTGGACCTGCCCGGCCTCTACTACTCCGTGAGCCAGGATCAAGGTCTGCAAGGAATCAAGGTTGTCCGAACCTTGACAGAGAAGTATATGAAGAATGCAAGAAGCATCATCCTTGCGGTCCTCGGCGCAAAAACCGAATACCATCTCCAGGAGGTTCTCAACATCGCCGAACGTTTTGATCCGAGACGCGAGCGCACGCTTGGAATTATCACTCAGCCGGATACACTCGAGCCAAATTCCGAGCAGGAGGGGACGTATCTGCAGTTTATCTCTAACCAGAAAATTCGCTTGCAGCTCGGCTGGCACGCCTTGCGCAATCGCTCCTTTGAGACACGGGATATACCGGACGACTCCCGCGACGAGAGAGAGAAGGACTTCTTCAACCAGGGCCGATGGTCCTCTCTATCCAGGGACAGTGTCGGAGTTGAGAGTCTCCGGCGACGCCTTAGCAATATCTTATTCATGCAAATCCGTCGTAATCTCCCTGGGCTGATAGCTGACATCAAGGCGAAGGCTTCCGACCGGGAGAAGGAGCTCTCGAAGCTGGGTCCTCCACGTACTACCGGGCAACAGCAACGGGGATATCTGCTCAACATCAGCAGCAGCTTTGAGCGTATCACAGGGCAAGCGTTGCACGGCCTATATGCGGACGAGTTCTTTGGTGCGTTGGAAAATATAACTGATAGCCACGACTTCCGGCGACTCAGGGCCATCATCAGGCAATTGAATGAGTATTTCGCTGACGCCATGGCCGCTCGAGGGTCTCGTCGAATAATCGTGGATCGTGTTCCGGGGTTCGTCCAGGATTCGATGCAACATGACTTGAAAAACCCTTACTTACCAGGAAGGCTTCCACATTATGTACTTCGGAAGAACCTGGAAGAGGAGGTCGCCGAACAGGCTCGGAAGAACAGAGGAATTGAGCTGCCAGGCAGCGCTAATCAGCTCCTCGTGGGTAGCCTGTTCCGCGATCAGTCACTCCCATGGGAAGGCCTCGCGAAAGAGCATGTCCTGAAGGCCTGGGAATCAGTGCGGTATTTTGCGTTACTTGTCATGCAACACACGACGGACGATCATACCTTCTCCTTGCTGGCTGGATCCATTATTGAGCCTGCACTGGACAAATTGAGGCAAAATCTGCTGGACAAGCTCGATGAACTGACTGCATACACGAAACGGGGCCACCCATTGCCCGTGGGCAAGAGCTTTCTTACACAGATACAGAAGGCGCGAAGTGAACGTCAGCTGTCTTCGTTGAAGACCAAACTCACGTACAGTCATTCTCACAAGCCTGACGGGGAAGCCCTATTCTCGATGAAAGCAATCGAAGAGGCAACTTCCAACCTGGAACTGTCCCGTGATGAATATGCGGCAGCTGAGATCATCGACCAAATGCAAGCATATTACGATGTAAGAACGAAAGAGAAGAAGAGCCAGCTAAAAAGGACTAAGCAATTTGTGCTAATCGATCGCTCACAGACTGCAATCGTGACATTCGTCGACAACGTTGCAACCCTGGGCATTGAAAACTGTCTTCTTGACCCTCTACAGCGGATCCTGACCAGCCAGGTGATTAACAATATGAATGATGATCAAGTGCGAGAATTAGCCTCTGAGCCATCCTATATCAGCGACGAGAGAGACCGTCTGGCCAGTGAGGTCGACAAATTGCAGGCTGGTCTCCGCACTCTCAAGACCTTTAACATCCAAAAGCCTTCAATGAGTGAACCACCCTCATTCGAAAGGCTAGAGATAATACGGACTGGCATCCAGCAGAAATCCATGCCATCCAAAGGTGCAAAACCGACGGCTCAGCCGTCAATTTTTTCAAGTCTGCCTGAAGCGAAGCCTCATACATCACCAGCTACGAAGCCTTCTAACGGAGCTGCAACCACGGGCTTCTTCACCTTCACAAGTAGGTTGTCATGCTCCCAAGAGAGGACTTAGCTAATCTGCCTAAAAGCCCCTGAAACACCGTCTGGGCAGGTTTTCGAAACTCCCCCGTTACGAAGCGCGATCAACTCGCCCAATGCTACTTTTGGAGGTAAAGCTACTTTTGGAGGTAATGCAACTTTTGGAGGTAAGGTTGACTCCGGGACGACGCCTGTAGTAAACTTGTCTCCCACTGCTGAGGCTTCTAAAGAGGGCAGGAAGAAAACAAAATTATCGCCAACATATCGAGCCGGTCTGCTCCGGGGAATCTCGAGCCAGGGCTTTTTGCCCGAGTAGACTCGACGAGTGAAGAGCTTACCTTCTATGATTTGGAATGTCAAGCATGCCATTGGAAGTGATGATTCTCATGAATTGTAGTACTTATCAACACGTAACCTAACATAAATGCTGTACTCCGTATAACGCTAGGCTTTTCCGATGCCAGTCATCCACCTGTTCCGTCAGCCTGAAGGAAATTGCCATTCGGAATATATGGATCACCCGTGAAAGAAAACAGATGTGTCCAGCGTCCAACCCATGTGTCTTTCTGTAAGATGGTAAACAACTCAACCTCTACCAACCCCAAGAGCGCTCTTTAGTACAATCATTTGGTTAACATGACGAGTCCGGCGAAAAAGCACTTTTCCAATTCATCCTCCGCCAACGGACACGTGAGGTGCCCCACTATCCAAGTCACCTCGCAACGGATCGATCAGCATTGGAGACGGACAAAGCCAAATGTAACGTTATTGAACAAAGGATGCATGAATGTTGATATGGACGTCGTCGCTGTTAATCAGCGAAATCGGCGTCAGCCACTGCTCAAAAGGACGGAGATAACATCGCGGAAGTTGCCGACAGACATTTACAATGAGTGCAACAATACTGTTCTTGCAACAGGCTCACCAGCCGTATTCTCGCCGGTCGCCAAATAGTCAGCTGTGGACTTCTGCTGGTGATGGCGTTGATTTTCGTAGATACTGCATACTAACACGATCCGAGAGCAACCAATAGCATCAGAAACATTTTTACCAGTGCAAAATTGTCATGTTGTGACAGTTCACCCATGGCTGATTCCGCTGCCAGCTTTGTCTCCCGTGGCTTATTTGATCACGGCATTTCCCTGACATTGTTGCTCTAACCCTCAATTATGCAGATGGTATATAAGCTTCACCCTCGATCGACAATACTGTTGGCATTTATTGCACCACACATGGTACTATAAGCAAATACTCCTGACCCATACTCATACCCTACTTCTATATCAACAGTGTCCCCAAGTAGCGACTGCGTCGCTTGCCTTCACAGATATGCAGGCCGAAATGTGCTATGACGATGTGGCATGGGAGCTGTCAGATGACATCTCGGATTCTTGGGTGGAGCAATTTCATAACATTGGGGTAAAGAAAGCCATAGGGTATTTCATTCTAAGACATGATTCCGGCGACGACCCCAGATTAAGACTTATCGGCAAGGGCTCGTTCAACATTATATTGCGGATGAAGTACACGCATAAGTCGACCAATATACACTTTTCGCAACCAGGGGCTATCCTTTTTCCAGAAGAAAAGACAAAGAATAAAATTACCGTGATGCGATATATTGCAGATCAGACATCAATCCCGGTACCCTTTGTTCTTCACTCTGGGACACGAGATGAGAGCCCGCTTAAACTCAGCCCTTTTATCATGATGAGCCATATTGATCACAAGACGAATATGTATGCTGCATTGAATGTACCAGGCTGTCCGGTGGAGAAGCGAGGGTATCTTAATCCAGACATTGATGAAGATGATCTCCGGAAGCTCTACGCCGAACTGGCAAAGGTCCTCCTCAAGCTTGCCAAGCCAGAATTTCCCTCGATAGGGTCTCTTGTCCAGGTCGACGACTTTACATGGGAGGTAGCCAGTCGCCCCTTGTCAATGAATATGAACGAGCTTGTTCGTTTAGGGACACTACCGCGATCAAAGCTTCCACCACTGGATGCCACGTTCAAGTCTACGTCTTCGTACATGGAAGCGTTAGCACAGCTCAACATCCAGCACTTGATCCATCAAAGGAACAATGCAATAGAGTCCGCAGACGATTGTCGACGAAAGTACGTTGCACGGCAACTGTTCTACAAGCTTGCCAAGGAAAAGAAACTCTTCAACTCATGCCATGAGCACGGGCCATTCAGACTCTGGTGTGATGATCTCCGACCAGGCAATGTTCTCCTCAACGACGATATGCAAGTGACCGGGGTGGTGGACTGGGAGTTTACATATGCAGCACCAGTCGAATTCTCATATGCACCGCCATGCTGGCTTCTTATTGAGAATCCAGATCAGTGGCATAATGGTATGGAGGACTGGACGCGAGTCTTTGATCGCCGACTCAAGACGTTCCTCTCGGCAATGCGACATTGTGAAGATGCGGAAGATGTGCACGGCGAGCCCCGGCTGTCAGATGAAATGGGAAAGAGTTGGGAGAGCGGCGACTTCTGGGTGGTATATGCCATTTTGCATAGTTTTGCGTTTGATGCTATCTACTGGCTGGAGATTGACAAACGGTACTTTGGACCCACGGAGACGGACGAGGCAAGTGAGGCATGGAGAGAACGGATATAACTCTTAGATGAAACCCAAAGAGATGAGATGGAACATCTTGTGACGAAGAAGCTTGCCGAGATGGAGAACAGGGTATTGGCATGGGAGCCAGATGAGTACACTGAAGAAAATCGCCTAATGCTGACGAAGAAGAGACAAGAAGAGGTGGTAGATCCAGCGCCATGTTGACTCAGAGCAATCTTTCTTCTATTTCATCGTGACTTCTCGCCAAGGACTTACATACACGAGCTGAATACTGGATATTACTGCAAGGAATAGAGACTCTATCGAGCTTATACACTCATAAGCCTTGCTCGGAACCTTGAGACATTCTTACATGGGAATCATACAACAGGATAAAAATCCGACAGTTTGCGATCGGCGTATTAAGTGGAGAATTTGTAGGTGCTATGCAGATGACATAGTCTGCTGAGTGAAGGTCCCTTGCTAGATAGTAGAATGTGGACGCGCTAAATGCTAGACCAAAACGATGTATCGTGTCTATTCGACCAGCCGACGGAGAGATGTCTCCCAACATAGGTCGTTACGGGGTCACACTTACATAGTATTTAGGTATATGCTTAGAACGAAATGGTAGTATCGCCTCTCTAGGCATCTGCGTTTAAAAGTAGTAAACAAAGAAAGCAAAGATACTTCAAGCAATACTCTATATGAAGAGTAATGGCGCTATTTGAGTATTTATGCATGTCATGTGTTACACTTCACCAGTCAAGCACGGCACTGTTCACGGCACTGTTCGGCGAATTCCTCCACCTTGCTGACCAATTGCTCAGTCCAACTCAGGTGCGGGCAGTGACCGGTAGGCGCATGGTAGATGGTAAATGCAATTCCCCTCTGAGCTTGCAATGCGATCATCCCTTCCTGGTATTGCGGAAGTAGGGTGGCATCGTTATCCGAAACCAGGTATGCACATGGCAGCGATGAGTAAACGTCATGGGTCAACACGCCTGTGTTGATGGGCGATGCTGTCAATGTTGCAGCCCATTTGGCTGCTTCCTCCGCCTCCAGGTCATTGAACATGAATCGGTGGGCTTCTACGACAGTTCCCAAACCAGCGGCTCCGTGTTTCTGAGCCCCCAAATGTTATTATAGTTGGTATATAGAAGGGTTGTGCGCTGAAGCAACTTACATGGAATCGCATGAAAGGCGGCGTGACAATTGGCCCCTCCTTGGGTTGGAAGAAGGTATGGACAGACTCTCCGACAGGTATGACAAAGGCATTCTCAAAAAAGATCCCTATCACGCCCCCCCTTTGGCCCTTCGCGTGACGAGACTTGTACTGTAGTTGGGGGACAGCAGCCTGAGAGGCAATGAGACCACCTGATGAATGGCCTAGCATGATAACATCCTTCCCTTCTTGAACGATGAGCTTTTCAAGAAGCTGGTTAACGACCTCAACATCGTCCGAGTCAGTGGGATAGCCCTCAACCGGAGGACCCGAGTCAAAGTCTGGGTGGCTAACATCCCCCACGTTGAGTAGGCTGAGATCGCATGTTGGGCGCTGGGGGCAGTAGGCCTCAAACCCTCTGCCTTCAAGGGACTGCCTAAAGGGCTCATAAGGAGCAGGCGTGTGATAGGTCCCTGTACAGATGACGACAGCTGTTTTGGCGGTCTCGTTAGCGGCCATAGTGATATGGGTTGCACGAAACAGGCCTGCTTGGCTATGCGATGCGGAGGTATAGTGAATTAGCAAGATAAGGTTGGGGGAAGAATATAACTCAAGGCACAACGACAAGGAAGAAGGAATCTTTAAATTGCGGCATGATTTGGCCCCCACGATACTAACTTCCACTGTAATAATTTGATGGGACTGATTTGATTTGCTTCCGTTAGCCTAGTGGCAGTGGTGCGGTGGAGGCGGGCCAGAGCACATACGGCTCCGTCCGATTGAATTCATTTCTTTAGCCACTTGATCCCAAGGTTACTGCTAGTAGCCAGTAGATTAGATAGTTTGCGGACGAAGCCAACCCCCACGTTTAGCTGCAGAGTCTGGTATGATCACGAAAATGGGGAACTAAGTGTCAACCTGCTGGCTCCGTCAGTCTTGAGGCAAGTAGTAACTTTATTCATTAGTAGGTATCGCATTATAGCTGGATGATGCTACACGCGGGGTAGCTGCTTTTGTCATGGCCCAGAAGTAGGAGATCGTGTTTATCAGTTTCGAACTTGGTGCTCGACTCGGTTGGTGATAATAATCGCATGAACCAACTATGTGGGTGGAGACGGAAGATAAGCCCAGATGTTAGCATAATAGTCTGGATATAGCCCCGGCGATGGTGAGAGTTGGCCGAAGCGCCTTGACCTTGACTATTCCACGCCGCCCCACTACGCGCGGCTCTATGCCTCTGTCTCCATCGTGAAGGTCATCCACATTGGCGAGGCCGTACTAGTCGCACTGCATCGCTTCGACCGGCGCCGGTAGCTATGGTCAGATGCTTACCAGTAGTAAGTAGATAATTGGGGGCAGCCGTACGAGTTCAGCTGCCCCGCTTTGGATGGAGGTGCACTGGCTTGTACTTATAGTATCTCTCACTTCGGTACGGCACAGCCACTCGCACATTCCTAAGCCACGAAACAGGCCGTGAGGAGCGAGAAACTGCGAAGCGCAGAAGTTCCTTTTATCAAGGTAACTGCATGGGCCAAGATCCTGGCGCGGGGTTCAGCCACCCGTCGAAAGAACCGTGCCACTCCGGTGATACGGTCGCTGATCTGGATGAAAATCTTGCTCCTACTGGACTAGAATTAACGGATCCATGAAGATATGCAGGAGACAACTCAGGATCATATGTGCGTGTGAGTTTGAAATCGTATGTGCTCGGGTCACAGACCAAGCCAGGATGTGTTGACTGCAGTAAGTGCAGCTTCCGCTAATTGGTGAAGCCTTGATTCGCGTCGGACGGCGGCAACACCAAGGTGGAGCCCCTGATGCCTGTCAATGTCAGATTTTAGTGCGTTTAACTTCAGCATCGTGCATCCACCATGTAAAATTAGGCGAGAGAAGGCGCCCGGGAACACACCAGGTGCTCCGGTTATTATTATTAGAGGAGGGAGACGTCGTGATACCAAATGATATCGGAAGTGGATGTCTTAGACACTCCCGTCACGGTAGTCTTTCATATCAGACACCGTTATACTCTCAGCTAGATTTTTGTGAATGACATAGCATCAGGTTCATGGTTATTATCACACTGCATTGCCACTGAGTACTTAATTTTCTTCCATATACAATGGCATGTGGGGGTACCATATCAGGATCTTTTCTCGGCGACATAAGCGAACAGCAATATATGCGGCCGGAAATGTCGGTAAGACTATTATAATACAACTATACCAACATTTCTGTAGAGACGCCTGGCACACCCGACAAGCTATTTTGCACCGTAATCTGACTTGGATTTGTCTGGTAAAAAGCACCTGGAGAAGGAAGGTGTGCCATCTGTTGGGGGTGGATGCCCTCGCCAACCCGTTCAAACTCATCGTCTAGTGAACCGAGCAGTGCGACAGTATCAACGCGTTGCTTCCGGCGTGACAAAGATCGCCCAATGGACCCGAAGGTTCGGAGCCCTCGCCGAGGCTTCTCGGGAGGCTTGACAACCTCGACGCGGGACCGGAAGAAGATCGGCCCCAGTGTCGGTGCACAGGACACCAAAATGCCACAGGCTATCTCGGCCATGCACAGGATAGACGCATCCAGTGCGCAATAGGTGATATTGGTCCCGTCGCATGTCCTGGTTTGGATGATGCGTTCAATATTCACACCCGCCGTTCTATGTTTTGCGTTAAACGGGTTCCACTAGGATGCTGGTGGCCGAAACAGAAAATACCGTAAAGAACAATGGTCGGGTACTGAAGAAAAAAGCAGCAGTACTTACATCAAACCCAGTAGAAAGGCCGCAGTAACACTGATCTTCTTCTCCTTGGGCATATTCAAACCCCACACTATGGGCATGGGTAGAGATACAATCAGCAGGTCAACCGCGAGATTGAAGCTCCCTGAGGCGAATTCCACCTTCGTTATATCCCCGCATGTCCGATTGATAGAGATATCCCAGTTGGCGTTAATAGGTCGACAAAGGAGAGCAATTGTCAACACCGATGCCATCCAGTATAGCGTAACGAGCGCCATCGTGGTGATTGTACACCAGCGAAACCAGTTGCCCCTGAATAGATCCAGGTACAGACATAGGATGGCCAGACGAAAGGCTGCTACCGCTAGACAGAAAAACCATTGCGATGAGAACAATACTTTCAAAGAAATCGTCAATTTGTCCGTGGGGACGCTGGTTATGTTCCAGCCATATGCCCCCGCCAGAACACCTATCCTATATTAGTCCAGGAATGGAGAGCAGTAAGCTTGAGGGTGTTTCTCAGAACTATCATACCCACAATATCGTCTATCACAAAGCCGGTGAGGCCAAACTACAGAAATGATATGTCAACGAATCGCAGCCATGATGGTGAGGTAGAAGCATCAAGTTGGGATGCAGGGAAGGTAAAAAGGCAGCATACCAGCGCCAGGGCGGTTAGATAGTCATGGCTCTTCCAGCCGGCTTTGCGGATCCGAATTGCAATTGCTCGTAGTAGTACAGCGATGGTACTTAAGGTCCAAAGTATGACGGACGCAACAATGAGTTTTGTGCCTTCTCCACCATTGATGGACATCGTGTTGGATAGTCCTACCAGTTAGAAGATATATATCGCCCGAGCGCACATAGGAACGTGTTACACGGGAGGGTAAAAGACTTCTTGGATTGAGCATTAAATAAGTTTCCCCTCAAGCGGATCCTGGGATGAACCCCGCACGCTGCCTTTGTGCATGATGCTGAATTGGGCTGAGACTGGCAGAACTCCTAGTTGCGATGGAGCTGCTGCATGTAACCGGACTTAACAGGGATTTCAAGCGTTAGTCTTGGTTCAATCATATGAGTTTTTAGAGAGAATTTGACAAGCCACTGGCGACCGAGGATGCATAGTGCTGGCCGACCATTCGAGGCTAATGCATCCCAAAGTAGACTACCTGAACAGTGTCAAGTATGGGGTTGAGAGCGGGGTGAACGCGATGTGGTGTTCAACTATCATCAGACGGGAAATCCAACAAAGTCTGTCTACCACTACAGATGAAATCCAAGGTGCCGAGGATTCTCCGATCGATTGGGAATATTTATCAGTCTAGCTGCGCGAGCTGAGGGTTATCCAATCCGATCCGAACAGTAACAGCTAGTTGATCCTTCCACTAACCTTCCTTTTTACCCGTCTGCTCTTAGGGCTGTGGGGCGTAAAGAGAACCCGACACTGCATCACTAGTGTTGCCAGCGCCAGCTGAATCTGTCTTATGGGCGGGGATGCCCCCGCACAGGTGGTGCTATTGCGGCAAGGCAGGAGAATACTGTTTTTGAAAGATGGTCTCATGATTATCCAATAGAAGGTCAAGCAGCCACGTGAGCAGATGGAGTAGTCGGCCACTGAATCTCAGTTTGGTAGCCTCAACCGTTTAACAATTTCTTCTGGCACTACAGCAGGAAGCACTGTATTACGATGCGATATGTAATAATCACAACCTACAACAAATGAGCATGTGGTATGAGCACAGATTATGACTACGCTAGTAGGCATGTTTGTGTGATCCGCGCCAATGACTGGCACGGCTGGAAGCGCCCACAGACAGGGCTGTTGAGGGGTCCTGCTCGGGTGGCTGGGCTTGGATAACCCCACCATATCATGCCTTACGTGCACCAGCTTTCCTTTCTGTGATTGTGATATATTGTCCAGAAATAGGAAGGTATGTGATAAGACATACATTAGTCCCACTCTCCAAGATGAAGAGAGGGGAAAAGTTGTCCCTCCGTCACATTTCTCGAACGTGACAAGTGCTGCCTCCTTCGTCTTTTGATGCGGAGTTACGCGAGGCTTTTTGTCGGCTATTGTTGCATGTAGCTATAGCAGACCCATCAGACTAGATAGATACCTTGCAATTACTTCAACAATGCTGGCATTATGATGACTCCGGAAGATGTCAGAACGGACGGATACGAGAATCACTTCGGCACAAACGTGCTAGGTCCAGCATTGTTGACCCAGCTTCTAATGCCCACTTTGCGCAAGGCAGCAGAGGCCAATTTCCAGACTCACATGGTTATGCTCTCTTCTGCTGCATATGCTGTTGCGCCCAGTGATATGTACAAATTCGATGAATTGCGTATTAATGCCGCCAACCGCCGCACCACTGAGCGTTACACCACGCTCAAGCTTGCCAATATCCATTACGCTAGAGCTTTAGCTGGGACGGAAAAGAAAGTGAAGATTGTCCCCGTTCGTCCCGGACTGATGGCAACCAATCTTCATGATTCGGAATATCCTACTTACTGCAAATGACACTCCTCTGTGGTTGGTCTTCCCTTACCCTGCAAGACTTGCCACATAATAAACACCCCGGAAATAATCATGAGAATAACTAGTGTTGCTAATCCCAGTCCCTTGCATTGTCAGGTGCGACACTCCATTTTCAACAAAGACGCATGGGTACCAGTCTCTATTTATTTTCTGAACCAGTCGCTCTGGAGACTGGCATCAATCATATTGGAAACACATAGCCGACATGTTTCTGGAGGCATTCTTCAAGACAGTCATTATAAGAGTAATTAGGACTGGCAGCATAGAACCATAAATAATTGGCTACCAGTTCTGACATTCATGACTAGACTCGTTCTTGCTGGCCTCATAATATACAACTTTGCAAGGACCATGTTACCTGATCGACCCGTTGACCACTTGAATCTAAAAAGCCCAATAAGTAATCGGTTGAAAAGAAGATTCTATTAGTAAACAAAACACTCATCACAAGAACATTGGAAAACCCGACCTTCACATTAACACTCTTTATATATACAACAACTTCCGTCTCAAGGAAGGGTCTTGCCGATGCCTATTGATTCAAACGTGGTTCGGCTGGGACTGTTGCGATTTGGGAAGCACTAAATGACAATTAGCAATTTAGGCAGCCGAGGCGCCTAGCAATATGATTGCCTAAAGATCCAGTCACTCCTAACCACAATCACTGTGACAGAGCCTATTAAGTTAATGTTGTACAGAACAAGGGTGTAAAGAGTGCCAAGATACAGTAATTATTCAGTCATTTACAAAGGCTTTCAGCATCACCGGCAATCGCCACCTCCAGGGGAAACGATAAGTTTCTCGGTCAACATATAACCAAGAATTGTCTCCTCTTAAGGATCTAAATCCAGGACCTACTCTGTTTTCAACTCAGCATTCACTGCTACTACCCCACAGAGCCTGACCAGGCGAAATACTGCCTGTCCTGAGCTAATCATTGACGCTACGTTTTCCTCTTGCGCCCCCTCTTTTCTGTGCCGCCAACAAACGCCAGGCTCTAGTCAGCCCTTCAGCCAACTCGCAATGGGAACTCGAGGGCTGGAGATAGTACGCTTCAATCGTCGTTACTACATCCGGTACAACCGCCTCGACAATTACTATGAGGGCCTCGGTGCCAAAATCGTCGCAAGAATTCCGACCGACCCCAACAGATACCAGGGTAGGTAATAGGCCATAGCCCATGCTTTCACCTAGCTAACAACTTGCAGAGTGGCTCCAGTCCATGCGAGAGAAGTATGCGACCAAAGAGAGGGCCCTTGATGCCCTCATCTACACCATCCACGACGGTGTCAAGCCTGACTACTCGCAATTCAGCGAATTTGTGTCGCTTCCTTCCGAGATACCGCGACTCCATGGTTACGACGCCGAGTACATATACGTCATCAACCTCGACCACGAGGTCCTCACAATGAATTACGGCATACATTGGAAGCTGAATAATATCCCGCGTGAGAACGACCTATGGCTTGACGCTATCGAAGAGAGCATCTATATGGACAAACCTACGATCTCTCTCCAGAAGTGTCCGGAAGAGCACATGGCCTCCCTGGCTTTGGAGTTGCGAGCTGTCCAAAGGGTTATTGAATATGATTATCGCCAAGTATATCCGAAGACAGATATTACGGAGGGACGAAAGGCATTTCTCACCCACCTTTTGGCCAATACGATTATTCAGTACAAAGATGAAATCACGAATTTTGGGAGGGAGTGGAGCCCTGACTCGTTCCCCTTCCGGGAGCTGACCTTCGCTCTTGTCTCAATTGCATCTGGCCAGGCCAAGTTTCATTATTTTCCGGCCATGCATTGTAACCCTCGAAAATGTGAGTCATGGACCTGTAATGCCGACCATTTACCCAAATCGCCTGGATGGTTGAACAAAAGGTGGGCCGGGGATAGTGCTCCGTTGCTGGAGTTTGGCTCCCTATCCCATAGACCAGGCGATCCTCCAGGGGTGTCACCCGCCGAGACAATATACTGGCTCGATGACGTCGTTGTCAGCCTTTCACTGGTTGTTGATGGCGGGGCAATTAACGAGGCCGTTGAATGGGGACTGCAGCAAGGCCAAGACAACTTTCAGATCGTTATTCTATCTCTATTCAAAGTGGCCTTTGTAGAGGTAACGACGGACGATGATGGAATACCATTCGTCAAATGCAGCGGCAAGTTAAATCTGTCGCCTCTGCACGAAGACTATTGTATGAGCACACATCCTCGGAAGCGACCAGAAGCGAAGCCTGGGATGCAAATCAAGCGTCGATGCGGTGAGCGCATTCTGAACTCAAACTGCACCGGGACTATCGACAGACTAGGCAGTCAGTTCCCCGGGCTCGCTACGATGGTGAACTTCTTCGAAGTTGCTGCGAACCGCCGGGCAGCATCCAAGTCAGAAGGCACTCTGCGGTCTGAATTATACGACCGGATTCTTGATTATGTGGACTATGATACGTGGAAGGCCTGTCTGTTGGTGTCGACGGCAGTGCGTGGCTGTTGCTTGCGCAAGTATAGGCTCGACGATCGTATGAGGATTGTTGCCGGGCCTTTCATTAGGCTGCAAAAGCATTTCAATGAGCCTTTGATGTCGTTTGACTTTGAAGACATGCAGACTGGTGAAATTCTTCCAATGAAGTGGTATCCGCGTGTCTGGAACACTTTGGAATGTAACTGGATGCCAGTTATTGGCAGCGATCGGAAAGCAGTCATAATAGATGTGTGCGTCCAGTATGAGCCGGCCGTGGATGAGCCAGTGAAAGTGGACAAGAATGACTGACACGATTGGCATAGACGAAGTTCTTTCATACCAAACTCTCTACCTCTATCGGGTCCAATTTCGGCACTCGTGTTCTTTATTCGCTCTTATTGTCCTATACAACCGGCTTATATAGAAGTCAACTAATAATTCTCGGTAGCCGCAGGTGTGTACACAGCATTGCAGGATAATCCTAATGAACATATAAAGACTCATATAACAGCCAATCATTATGAAGTCCTAGTTTCCCCTCAGAAAGTGTTAAGATCGTTGCCTATAATGGGACTCCATTCAGAGAGTTATCACGAGGTGCAGATATCTTCACTAATCATCAAATAATGCTACAGGTGATCTCAGCCATGCACAGGATAGATGTATGCAGTGTGGAATAGGTTATATTGGCCCTGTCGCATGTCGTAGTATGATTGATGAGTTCAATTTAATATTCTATGTCATAGGTGTCTACTTTTTCCTTTTCTTTTCTTATTAACTTTCACTAATCTGTTTTCTTTCTTTCAGGTCTCTCCGCTTCTTTCTACTGGTCCTATTAATAATTTCCATTTTTTAATCATATTTCTGGCTACTATTATCTTTAAGTATAGTTAGAAACATCACAAGACTTCTACGTGGGAGGGCCTAGGTCTCACACCCAGTGGGTTAGGGCTAGGTCGCCCTCCACTGTGACACTACCGGAGTCTTTCCTTACTTCTAGATCTCTTTCATTTCTCTCTCAAGATTCTGCTTTCGTACCATTATGTCATAATGAAGGACTTTACGAGCAGTTGACATATGATTAAACTACTATCATGTTCTAGCCCGCACGCTAGCCAGTCTCAAAGGCTAATTAGAGTTTCAGTCTACTAAGGTCCTTCCATCTTTATGCTTATTAGAGTTACCATCCCAAGAATGACCATCACCCATTGCTACTTTGGATACATGCTGGACATATCATCTAGTTAATTACTATATTATTTCTAAAAGTGTGCATTCTTTAAATTTATGCTTGGTGTCACAATTACGTTACATTCGCCGCAAACTGACGCAGTACTTTGTTGAAATCATATGATACTTCTATATTAAGCATAATTTAAGTTACTATCTTTTTATCGAACTTTCTTCGTTACTTGACCTGTTGTTGGACGCCCGCCTCTGCTGATCTGCGCCACAACTCCCCTCGGAGATGCGGAGAGCGCTCCAGGCATGAACAGAGTTGACATGTGAATAGAGTCTATGTCAGCTTCGCAAAGTGGCCGTCTTTCTCAACTATTTATACACGTATATGCCGCAATTCTTGTACAGAGTTTGGAACGATCTTTTGACACAGGAAAGCAACCGTTCATTACAGCAGGAGCCAGATCTTCCAAAATGGGTTCAGAACAGAGTTCAGAAGGACTTGACAATCTCAGAAATCTGGCGACGAGATTGACCAGCATTCATGATTCTAATGCTGAAGAGTTTCAAAGAGCTCCTATTGTGATGGGTAATACCAGCCCCCCCCTCCAACAAAAAAAAAAAAAATTAAAACACCGTGCTCTAACTTTGCAAGTTCCGGGATTCTCGGGATGGGGAACACCTCTTTTTGGTGCCGTCAATTACTGGGGAGGAATTGAAAACATTCCCCAGAAATTGGCGGAAGACGGTCACACAGTGATTGTAACTCCAATAGCACCCTTATCTTCTAATTGGGAACGTGCCTGTGAACTATATGCTCAACTTATATCTGGAAGGTATATGCTTAAATTGAAAGCATTTAACATGAGTATTTCTGAAACTGAGCAGATTCTCCCGGTATGACTTTAACACGGGTACATTTAATGATGATTCTGAGGGGATCGAAGTGGACTACGGCGACATATTTCCCAAAATACATGGATATCAACGGATTACAAAGAAGCGAAAACTCCCGATTATATTCACAAAAGATGACACAATGAAATCGGTGCGCTGGGTCTGGAGCGAAAATAAGCCAGTTCACTTCATTTGCCATTCGCAAGGAGGAAATACCGTCCGCTATTTGCTCCACCTTATGGAATGTGGCTCGCAAAATTTGACAGATGCCAGTCGACATGGACGTGGATCTCCGGCGCACTCGAAGTACTTCAATAAGGTTGGACGCAGTAAGTGGGCGATTTCAGTGTCGACTATTGGGACGCCGCACAGGGGCTCAACAATCATTGATGCTATTCAGGATTGTTTCAAAGTATGTCACATTTCTATATTGTTTGAAGTCTTCTAATGCGAATAGGCAGCGACTCCTGAAGAAAAGACTAAGCTAATTGGCCGCCTATTCGCAACGCTCTCCTTCAGTGATCCAGAAAACAGATTCTATGATCTGCAACTTGATCATTGGGGAATTAAGAGAGACACAACTGCAGCAGGAAGGGAATCTTTCCCGCAAATGCGAGCGAGACTGGAATCTCCGATATATAACGCTCCGGTGTACCGATGGCTTCATGAGGACCACAATGGACTCTACGATAATACCATTGCTGGGGTCAGAGATTTGAACAATTCAACTATTCCCACCTCAGACAATATATACTACTTCAGTCTGTCCTTCAGCTGCGTGAAGCCATTTCCAAAAGGCTGGCCAAAATGGACATTAAATTCGCTGAAGTATTACCCGTTGCGTATTCGTGAAGTTTCCAAGCCAATACCAATCTTCAATGGTATCGCTCGATTAACGGACAATGCCTTCACCTTTGCCGCATATTCTGCTGAGTCTATAGTAACTCCGTTCCGCGAGGTTATGTGCTGGGCTACGAACTATATTGTGAATCCCTTTATCCAGGAAGCCGGCTACAAAGTCATATTTCCTGGGCCACCGGATTATCTACCAGTACCGAGTGTCTTCCCGCCTATGCTCCCAACTGCATATGCTATGGGCTGCTACAATTTAACTGAATGCCAAGCTAACATTCTGGGAAATGATACACACAACTGGAAGATCAATGATGGCATCGTTAATACAGCTTCTATGAAAGGCCCGCTCAATCGAAATGGTGATCGACGTGGTAACAGTACCAATGAACTAATCGCAGATGCAAGCCAATTTCCTCACAGTTTAGATGAAATAAGAGCGGCCAGAGGAAAGTATTGGCACTGTGGTACCACGACTGGTCTGGACCATGCTGATCAAATTGGCATTTTCATTGAAGAAAACACAGTAAGACTCCATTCATAATCGAGAATAAGCATAAAAAAGCAGAGCTGATGTAGTGAATTAGAAACAGTATACAGAGGATATATATAAGATACTCGGGACCATTGTTTCACGCCTTCCACAATAAAGGACGCAGCCTGCTAATGCTTTAGGGGTGGACTGTTTTACACTCCAAAAAAGGGTTAAATAAAAGGGAAAACTAGATACAAAATTTATGTTTCTTGTTCTAGCATATTCTTCGCGACAGCGACGGAATATTGCTTCATGGACAACCAGAGGCTGTGAGAATTCTGAAGCTATGAGTATGGGCGTACAATACAAGCTCTGCCCTCTAATTATACAATTACCCTTAAATTCTGGTTATTTATCTAATATATATATAAACTACAGTATAGCTGGTATTGAAATAAAATATATTAACTTTCAATATGAGAACTGTAATAGAAACCTATTAATCTTATACTGAGACATTTGATTCAACCTGCTGCTTGGTGACCATGGATAAATTCTTTTGGTCTACTTGGCAGAAATCTGTTTTGACACTTCATATATATATATATATTATATTGATACAGGCATAGCTGACTATCCTGAAACTTAAGAATATATAATAATTATTATTCTTCTTATTAATCTGTTAGATTTCTAACTATTCTTATCGAAACAATATATAAGCATATGATATTCTGAAATCAATACTATTATACCTGTACTAAGAAATCAGTCTTACATAAACTAGAGCAATCCTATCAGTTACCATCACCCCCAGTAGGTTAGGATTACATTTCCCCTTTTAGCGCAAATACGTTGACAACCCATGGTAAGGAAGTGAAAATGGTGCCCATCAGCCTCCTTCCCACCACTACTCAACACTCCATTTCTCATCAATTTCGTTTAGACGGTTTTCCGTTTCCACAAATGCGAGAAAACATCATTAAGGCTGTTGGCTTGTTTGATGATTGCGAGCCTTGGAATGATATGATAGATCCCATCAGAGGTGACCGAACGCACTGGATATATATCTCTGAGGACCGAACGCTGCCCTTCACACTAACAGTCGTTGATGGAAAGCTACTCCATGAGACCTTGCCAGCTAAAAACTAGCTGTTTATCAGAGGAATTAGTTGCTGGACAGTATCTAAACGCTAATTCATCTCTCTCTCCCCCTTTCCTCTCTTGATTGAAGACTGGCCAAAAGATACCCTTTTTTTCTGCAATACGTCAAAGTGGGGCGGACCAGGAGCGGGGTAAGAACGGTACCGGGTAATGAACGAGTATTTAACGGACAGGTGGCCCTCGAGACGAAAGCCAAATTACTCAGTGAAAGAATGCATCCCCCATGAATGTCAGTGGCAACTCATCATCGCGACGCTCAACAACGGGGACCAGCGCAGCAGGGAAGCCGCGTCGGCGCATCAGACCCTCACGCTCACGCGGCTTGAGAACAAAGACAGGATGGTAGGTGGATCCCCTCTTGCTCAGTCAACTTCACAATGGCACCCAAGCGAATATCAAGCTCGCTTACACACCAGACAGCCTTACCTGCAGAGAGAGACGCGTCAAGTGCGATGACGGTAAACCGACCTGCTTGCGATGCTCCAAGTCCGCTCGCATCTGTCGGTATGCCTCGGACGCGACACAACACTCTGATCAGAGACATGCAGCTACAGCTGCAACTCCCCCGGCGGCCGACCGGGAGCCCACACAGCCGCAATCAAGTCCCAGAGGAAAGGGGCGCCAGGAGGTCCGTGCTGAGGAGAACAGGGCAAGCAACCCAGATGCTGGCGAGGAGACTTCGCCGAAGCCCCAAGAACATCTCTCGAATATTGCGGCAGCACCGACGTCTCATCCGAGCGCCTCGGTCACCCCTGAGGCCGCTGTACCACTGCATCCAGACGGCTCAATTGAGACGCCGCACTTCGACCCTTTGTCCGAACACAATGAGCAGAGATTGCCCAGCCTTGACCCTGCATTCCCGACATCCCCAGTTTCGCTCAGTCAAATCTCCCTGCTGAACATCTCCCCCTTCGAGTGGTACGACTTGCTAGCGCGGGATGCCATCAACCACATCCAACGATTGAATGATACGTCAAGCGGCGACCCCAGATGGCGGTTTCCTGAGATTGCACTCTCTCGTAGGCAGTCACCAGCTCCTGAACATTCTGGGGCTCGGTCCGAGCAGGAGGCGAGGTACTATGAGCAGCAGCGACACGCTCTGACACATGGAGACGGCCACACTGGATCACCCTTGCCAAATTATCATCAGTTGCCCCAGCCTTGGAACACCACAAGTAGGCTAGAGTTATCACCAACCGACCTTACGTTCTTTCAATACTATATCGAGGTGGTTGGGCCGATTCTGGACTTGTTTGATCCCGCTCGCCATTTCAGTAATGTCGTGCCCCATCTCGCTCTACGAAACACGGGGCTTTTGAAGTCTGTCCTTGCAGTGGGCGCTAAACACATGTCGCTGTGCCTTCGGCATAGAGGGGACGGAGATGCAGCAGATGGCCACGCGGCGGGTACCCCAGCATCATTGCCCGCAACCGTTGTCTCGACAGAATCAGACTCTGCCCCAACCCACATGGCGACTCAGTACTATTACGAAACCCTTCACTATCTCTCACAAACACTACTGTATCCGTCCTACGCCGACTCCCACGAGATCTTGGCCACAGCCACCATGATCAGCACATATGAAATGTTTGATGCGGATAGCGCTGCGAATAGCAGCGTCTGGGAGCAGCATCTACGTGGCTCGTTCTGGATACAGCGGTCTCAGGATAATGATGGCGAATCGGCCGATGGTCTGCGACAGGCCGTATGGTGGGCTTGGTTGCGACAAGACATTTGGGCAGCCTTTCAGGCAGGCCGGCCCACCATCACCTTCTGGCGCGCGCGGAAACCTCTCGAAGAACTCAGCTCGGACGAGCTAGCTACAAGGATTGTCTACCTTTGCGGGAAATGTGTGAAATATGCCGCTTCGGCTGCAATACCACCACACCAGGATCCGAGAGAGCGAATCGAGCAGGGTGACCGACTCTTGAGTGCGCTCGACGAGTGGTATCGTATCCTGCCCACCTCGTACCAGCCAGTGACAGTCGCTGAGGGTGCTGGATCAAGCGCCGTCTTTCCTTCGATATGGATCCATCCGCAAAATCATGCCGGTGCCATGCAGATGTACCATTTCGCTAAGGCGACAGTCCTGCTGAACCAGCCGACGCTGGGTGGACTAAATGCCTATCTGCTCCGCGACAAGCAGCTGACGGAAAGCATGAAAACGGTCTGTGGTATTGCCAATTCGTGCCAGGAGCATGATTGCGCAATGGCATTCATCAATGTACAGGCGTTGTTTGGAGGTAAGTCTCAGTCATCTTGTTCTGGTCCAAGACTAATATAATGGAAGTTGGCCAGTTTGTTCGGTCACCCGAGATGCGAGAGGAGCTGTTACGCATTCTAAACAACATGCTCCGGATAAGTAAGTTTCCCGCTAAAGGCCTTGTTGCGCGACTGCAGAGGGTGTGGCAGGAATGAAGTGCCGACCAAGTATAGAAGATGTATATATTACGATGTATTTCACGGAGCCCATGCTAGCACGTGTAATTTATGGAACGAGTTCAATGATTACAACAGATTCAGTTTCTTGATTGAAGAAAAATATATATATATATAAAATAAATATCTTAAGTTACAACGATTGCAAAATGCATAAATTTATTTTTCTTTTTTATTTTGTCTCTAAGAGTCCAAATTCTACCACGCTCCCACAATTCCTGCCACGGGGATGTCGATGCCCGTCGTATACGACGCACCGTCAGAAAGCAAATACACATAAGCTCCGCCCAGCTCCTTGGGATCCGCCAATCTGGGCATACCGCCATAATACTGCATCTTGAGATCCCAGTCCGGCGCTTGATCAACGAAATAAGTCATGGCCGTCTTAATGAACCCTGGTGATACCGAGTTGACGCGAATGCCATGCTTGGCCCACTCCATGGCCAGCGTGTGTGTCATATTCCGCACGGCACCCTTGGTGGCTCCATAGGGAGCGGAAGGAGCCGCCCGGTTGGGGCGATACGAAGTCATCGAAGCCGTGAAGACAATAGACCCCTTGATTCCGAGGTCGATGAAACGACGAGCGACAGTAGTAGCGCAGAAGTAAGCGCCAAAGACGTTCAAGTTGAACAATTGTTCGATCTGGGCGCGACTGAAGTCGAAAGCAGGCTGGTGCTTCGTCATGCCGGCATTGGCGATGAAGCCGTGGATCGCACCTTGTGCAGCGATGACAGCGTCGATGGCAGAATTCACGCTTTCCTCGGATGTCACATCACAGTGGACGTAGTATAGTCGCTTGGGATGGGCTTTTTGTAGGGTAGCGAATTCCTCGCCGGGCTCGAAGATGTCTAAGCTGTAGATAGCTTCTGCGTCGTTGGCGAGACACACTTGGGCGAGAGCCAGCCCGATACCCCTGTTGCCTCCGGTGATGCCAATCACTTTGCCCTTCAAGGACACTCTCCAGTCGTGGTCTGGGCCTGGGGTGGTGTCGAGAAAGGCTGGTGACGTGTTGGCTGCTGTCGCATTGCCGTTGCCGTTGCCGCTAGTGGCCGGGGTGTCATGCATACTCGGAGGCATAGTGAGGGATGTATTTATGTGATGCAAAGATTACTGGAAATTTGGTTAACTCTTGCAGGGGGCGACTTGTCTATTATAAGTCTCCCCGACTTTGTTGTTTTTTGGTCCATGAGACAGCGGCGCTTGATAGACAGGCGTTGCATGGTTCTCTGGGGACATGCTCGTGCTGCCACTGGTTGACCAATGCCTCAGTTCTCCGGGGAAGATTGTGGCCAATCGCACACAATTGCGATGATCGATGGTCTTCGAAGCGAGTCCCAGCCAATTTGCGATCTGCATTCACATCCCTTGGACGGGTGGGTCTACCAGTACCTCGCTTCGAGGCCACCCCGGATTATCAGCGGTGGTCGGGGCACATTTCGGTATCTCGGTATCTCCACACGGTATCT